GATCTGCTTTTCCATTCATATTTCCATTCATATATTTCCTAACTGCCGCAGTGTGAAATTGCTGTTGACTCGGTTGATCATTTGCCGCCACTCCCGCTACCGCTGCCGCTGCCGCCCGTAAGTGTAACTGTGTAAATTGCTTCGTTATGCTGCGTTGCGCTGCGCTGCTCTGTCGCCTAAGGTCAGCATCGGTCGCACTCACATTTTGTTTTGATTTCTATTTTGATTTGTCCATTCTCATTCGGGGGTCCGCTTTCCATCAACTCAATTGCAGATCACTGATCTGTTTCGAATTTGTTTGGTAAATTTTCACTGCAGTCACCATTGTTCGCGCACAATTGGTGGCAGGAAATATTACAAAGGAAGATGTTCCACTGCAGGAAGGAAATTCGTTGGCTGCTCTCATTCTGCTTCACAACTTCCACTTTTCTTCAATGACATGCATGACCATCGGTGTAGCTTCGTCGGCGGTTGTACGCTATCAGTTGAATTTATTGCCTGTCAACGGTTTATTATTATGGCGGTGATTTGTTTACGTGAAGTCAGCGAAATGCATTGTCCATGCTCAATGGCGCAGCGTAAAAAAGGTGAAAAGTAAATAAACTAATAAATAAGCATAAAAAATATGTTTGGGTAATACCAGTGGATGGGGGATGGACTATTGATAAATAGAAACTAGACAAACAAAACAAAAAAAAAAACACAATTTTTTTTGCGAGTTTCTTCAAGGAGTTATTTATACCCTGAACAGGGTATATTAGATTTGTCACGAAGTTTGTAACACCCCGAGGGAAACGTCGGAGACTATATAAAATATATACATATTATATATAAATGATCAGCACGATGAACTGAGTCGTTTTTGCCATCAACCTCTGTTTGACCGTTCGCCTGAACGTTTTTCTGTATATACTCGAACTAGCCGATCAGTTTTTAGATATCATCTGAAATTTTGCACACACTCTTTTCTCGCCAAGAAACTGCTCATTTGTCGACTATGGCATATAGCTGCCATACAAACTGACCGATCAAAATCCAGCACTTGTATGGAAAACGTATTTATTTGACGAGATATCTTCACTAAATTTTACATGCATTATTGGTTATGACAGCGCTACAATCTCGTAAAATAATGTTCAGATTGGATAACTATAGCATATAGCTGCCATACAAACTGACCCATCAAAATCAAGATAAAGATCTTTTCAAACTCTTTTATGCTACAAGAAGTACTTGTTTATGCACCTTGAAAATACTGCAAAACTTTTCTATAAGATCAACCTTATTAATACTGGATTATCCTTCAGGGAGTATCGTGAGGTCATCCAAAAATTTGCCTTTGCCAGTCGTTCCTCTTTTACGTAGAACAATAATAAATAATAAAGATAGCTGAGACTCATAATAGATTTATGTTAAGAACCGCGCCTCCGCCAGACTTGTATGAAAAGGCTTAGGAATGTGGAATGGAAAATACTGAACAGCACTTAACTGGTTTAAGTGGATTCGTCGAATGGTCTGATGGTACATAAGTTGATTGAGGTCAAAGTATTAATTTTGCTGTAGAAACGATGCATCGCCGAGAGCAGATCTATAGAAATGCAGATACTATATTAATATATTAATTATTATTAAAGCTCCAAGACTTTCTGAAAACGTAAAGCAAGTAAAAGCATCACTTTGTTGATTAACCACTCCAAAACGGTGTAGAATCTGACATTATTCACAATGATTTTTCTGAAAGTTCTTATGAAAGGTCCGGTAGAAAGAAATCCATTATTTTTGCATTGAATTGTAGGTTTTATTTAGCATAGAATTATCCGGTGTAGATCAAATAAGCACCGTTTTGTTCGATAAATTGTTGTCATTTTCAGTATGCCACTTTCATAGAAACCCTCGTCCATATTGACAAAAATCTTGAAGGCAGCTTTCCACAAGCTTCTATTGAGGCCAACTTCCCACCAGTAAAATCATTCGCCATAGACAGGAGCAGGTAATAACAGTTGGAGGCAGGTTCGGACTATATGAGAGATGCATAAGACCCTTCCAACCAACTCTCGGAGCCTCTGGTGAGTTACTACCGATATGTGGCCTGGTGTTTTTTTTAGGGAAGACTAATTCTGTATTGGCCAAAACTGGCCGCCTCTGGGCGATTGCTTAAACGCTTTACTAACTCGGAAACTCATATCGGAAGTAAATACATTATGTTGATATATACATAAATATTTTTCATAACTACATGCACATATGTATGTACACACCCAAAGACTTATTGTTATACCATGCGACAGCGAGGCAATTATTCTTGATTACCCAATACTAACAGCGGGCCAATAAGCAAAAGGCAAAAAAAAAAGCACAATAAAATTTACCAATCAATATTTCTTTAGCGGACATAGTAATTAATTGATCGTACAACTATTGCAATGACTAGCAGTTGCCAGCTTAAAAGTCCACTGAAACAGTAATTTGACATAAAGGAAAATATGTGGTAACATACAAACATATCGCCAGCATATGAGTATACATATACATATACATACATATATTTGTATGTTTGTATATGCTATTTATTTTTGTATTTGTTGTAACTAATTTAGTTGAATTAATTGTATTTTATTTTATTTTCGCTGTTCTATTGCAGGTCTAATCTTTAAAGTAAACATTTCTAATTTAGCGTCTGAGCATAAAAATCACTCGCAGCTTAATTCCAGTGCCTAATTATGGAGTGACAAGTATGTTATGTACTATGTAAGTATTTCTGCCTAATTAACCAAAAACTCATGTCATCCAGTGAGACGTCAATTAGAGAAAAGCCACAAATTGATTTCTTGTTAAAGCGTAAATTTGGGTGTCTAGTTTTACTTTGTCGGTTAAAGATATGTTATATTGACTGTTATATATATTATATTATATATGTACACATACATATGTACATATATATAAGTACAAAGTGTAAAACTGTATTTTTAACTCACGTTCATTCTTTATGCTACCTTGTTTTATAATGCTTAATTGCTAAGCCAATTTTTGACCGGCCCGGGTAGTAATTTTATATGCAACACAGTGTCTCTCAGCTACCAAACATTGAACAAATTAAAAACATTCTTTTCACACCAATCCTAGAAAGCACGAACTTAATACGCTCTACGAAAGAGATAAAAATTTGGTCGAGAAATCCATCAAAGGTGAAGAAGTCGTGGCTGGTATTGAATACATCATATTTTTTACGGGTAATATGGTGGGAGCAATCTGTAAGTAAGAAAAGGAAGTGTCTTATAATTTATACTCATATAATAAGACTGAAAAAGATGAAGATGAATTCTCTTTGCAGATGAATTACAGATTGAAAAAGTTCACATATGCTCCGAGAAGCTACAGTACCTTTCCAGAACAGTGGAATCAGTGGCCAAATCTAATTTAAACAATAATATATTCATAGCTGTACGACGAGGACTAGCTCATATACATATGCCTCAGTGAAACCAGCATAGATGAAGTATACAAGCAAATTTGGCGGTATTTGGTGCATCAGATGAATTTTAATAAGGATAAACCTTTCCATATCTTGAAGCATAGTTTTGCGAACTGAATTCAAAGTTATATATAATTTCCGAAACTGTTGAGATTATTTAAATTAAAAATATAATCACTGATCTCTTGAGCTTGCACTAAACGGAGCACATAGACAGTATTTAGTTCAAGATTTTATATGGCTTTTTTGCAAGAAAGGCCTTTAAAACTTTATTTGAACTTAGCATAAAAAGTATTAGCATCTCTTTTACCAATCAATTGATGCGATACTGAAACGTTCTTGAACTCTTGTGTTCCAATTCAGTTCTCAAGAATGTTTCATGCATATATTTAATCTCAACTTTTTTATTTATTTCATGTTAATAATGAATTAGCAAATAAGTAAAACATTTACAATTAAATTTTTATAAATTCATAAATATATTTCATCTACATGTAATCACATATTTAATTTTTCCTACTGGGCTCTTTAGATTTATTCCATTATTCCGAAGATAAAAAGGTTGCTAACTTTGCTAGATTATTTTATATTTGTGGTTAATTTCTTGAATATTTAGTACTTTTAGCAAGAATAACGTTTAAATTACACGAACAGTTTTGAAGCCACTATATAAAAGTCTAAATGTTTGATTCACAGCTAACAAAGAAAATACGAGGGTTGTTTGCTAAGTACAATATTTTTTTTTGCGCCTGACAAGAATATACAATATTTGGTTAATTTAGTTTATTTAGTACATTTTTACAAAAACTTGAGTTATTTTTAGGTTATTAATATTAGATAATTCCCCAGAAAGGTGTAAAAAATGTTTCGCAAATAGGGGAAGGGGACCAGAAAGTTTCCAAAAAGTGTTGGCCCACAATTCCGGCCGTTTACGACGGATGTTTTTGCGCAAAAGCCTCAAAACGCTCAAATAATACTCGTTATTGACCGTCTATCCAGTTAGAACGAATTCATGATATACCAAACCGCGAATATCAAAAAAAAAAATTTCCGGAAACTTTCTGGTCGTAATGTACAACATGTTGCTACAGAGTATAATGAAAGGTTTAAAGAACAAAAACTCGTTCAATAGCATCGATCAACCACCGTATTCAGCGGATTTGTCCCCATCCAACTTTGTTTTTGTTACCAAAATAAACCCACGTAGTCAAGAATGATATTGAAGCCCCTATCAATTTCAGGGTGTATACATCTAGACTTATATAACTTATAATTTATTTATATAACTTAACTTCCGAGGCTTCCCCCCAGCTGAGTAAAGCTGCCGGTACCTTATTCATCCTTTTCTGAATATTTGAATTCAAGAAAGGCTTTCTGTTTAGTGCTAGATACATCACTGAATATTTGGGTTCTAGGACTGTTTTTTCCAGTGCTACATAATTAACTTTATCAGCGAGCTGAAATCAACTAAAATATTTTGTTTCTAAAAACGGTGGACTATAGGCAAGCAATGCAAATTTTCGTTCTCTATTTATAAGGCAATATAATTAAAATGCTTTTTCGATATCCAAACAATTTTTGGTCGAAGTTTTGCCTTAGAAAAAGTTTCGATGTCCGGTCGAGGTGGACTTCCAAAAAAATGATATTTTAAGAGTAAAAGTCTCCCTTTCCAAATTTACGCATAGCGATTTTCCATTTTGGACTAAAATCGTAGAAGATGATAGTGTTTAACTCAAAAAAATTAAATTTCGAAATATGAATCACGCTTTACATTGTACCTTTCTCCGTTATAATAATTTTAATTTGCAAGAAAATATATTATCAGAAGTATTTTCAATTACCTATGCATGAAATCGTGACATCTATATAATCATTCAGTTCTATAACTCAGTAGGTTGTGGCTTCGATTTTCAGAAGTAAAAAAATAAAAATTCATGGATTTTTAAAATGGCAGTCAAAAAAGTTGCAAAAGCTTAACCCAAAAGAGTCTATCAGATCCAAAATACTGAGCGAGGCAGAGTTTAAAAACTTAGGTGAAGCTGACCACAAGTCATATTTATAAAAACCTTTCAATGACGTTCGAAGAATTCTCTCACTCTTGCGAAGTAAGCAGAGTCAAAACTTCGTGGCCGTGCTCTAAATGTTGTTTGAGTCGCTTCTGATCTACAGAAGACTAAAGATAATTTTTAATAAGAAATCTTAACATAATTTTCTATGCGTCATCTGCTCTTGATCAATGTATCTGAACTCTTCGTTCGCACTCTTTTTAATAGACTATTAAACGATCCACCCTAATGCACAAGTCTAGTCTAATATCGGCATATACATATATAAATATTGTAATTGTACAAATATAAGTCACGTCTTTCGCAAATCATTTCCCATTCGAATATCAGATCAGTTGAAATGCAGTTGGTATTTACACTTTTGATTTCTCTGCTGGTATTTTTGGACTCGGTGCACAGCACAGACTACTGTAACCCCGATTTATGTCGCCATGGAACGCATACCGCCTGTAACAATGATGGGGTAAGGCTAAAAATTAATAAATAAAAAAAAACCGAAAAGCACTTTTATCGTTTATCTCCCTTACTTTTTAGCAATTCGCCGCAGTTTGCAGATATCCGAGAGTCGTAGAACTAACAGCCGCGCAACAGGAAGCTTTAGTCAATATGCACAATGTGAAACGGAACTGTGTGGCCGGTGGTGAAACGAAATTAAAGCCAGCTTGTCGCATGGCCACCATGGAGTGGGACGACGAGTTGGCCTCTGTGGCGGCTTTCCATGTAAAACGATGCGAAGTCGAGCACGACGCATGTCGCAATACCGACACCTTTTTGCATTCGGGTCAAAATATAGCTTGGATGAATTTCTATGGAAGACCAAATGTTACAATCATGTCGAAACGCGCAATTAATTTGTGGTATAATGAAATTATGGACACCGAACAGGCATTTATCGACAAATATCCACGTAATTATGACGACAAGTAAGTATATATGCTTAAAAGCATCGCCAAACACTCGATAAGTTTATAGAATGATTATTCGACTAATTTTCGTAGCCCCATAGGTCATTTCACCATTATGATGGCCGATAGGAATATACGTGTGGGCTGCGCTTCGATCATATTCCAAGAGGAAGGAGATGATTTCGAAGGTTTCCTTATAGCTTGCAACTATGCAACGACGAATGTTGTAAATTTCCACATTTACAAATCTTGTTCGGAACCTGCAGTTGAATGTGAAACCGGTAAAAATCCAGATTTTCCAAATCTTTGCTCAACAAGTGAACAATACGATGTCAATAAATTTGAATAGACCATGTGATTTCAAATAAAACAAAAATTTATGAATGTCTGAGTGACTAATGCACGGTGGGCTGTATTTTTATGTAACAACCTCGGCAGTTGAGTGATTTTTTGCAATCTAACACAATAGTTCGGGGAAGATTTATGATCTTTGGCTAATTTCTCTCTACTGAGACCGTATCGGTCTTTGAAGCGGAGCTAGACACAATGGCTCACTACTTATAGTAGAAGTCCAAAAGGGGCTAGGAATAATGAGATCTTGATATTGCAACATTTTTTACTGAGTACCTCGCTTAGCTCTGCATTTTTCTTTCCAGTTAAGCGACTTCCTTAATGATTTGTTATATAATTTTAATAAAAAATTTTAATTGCTGCTGTGATGACAGTCCTCGACAAGATAAAAATTAAGGTGTATTCCGATTTCCGATTAAGCAGAGCCGACTGTCATGTGAACTAATAAATTTGTCAAAAGTATCATATCATTCATTCTTCGATAGAGACCACGTGTGACATGTCAGAGTATTTTTTTAATATGGAAAAATTTAATATCGCGCAGTGATTAGATTTCTTGTTTTGAAAGATTTAAAAGTAAATGAAATTCATATTTTATATGAAGAATTACATAAGAAACAGCTGTTTGGAAAGTTAGCGCCGCACACGTTGACAGTTCAACAAAAACTGAATCGAAAACAAATTTCTCAGCAAAATTTGGATAATTTTTAGCAGCATGCAACCAATTTCTTGCATCTTTTTATAATTATAGATGAGACTTGCAACTACCGCCATAATCATAAATTGAAACAAGAGTGTTTACGAGTACAATGGCCTGAAGCTGGTTGTTCAGCTCCAAAGCAGGCGAAGTCACAACGATCAGCAAAGAAGGTTATGGCATCAGTTTTTTGGGATGCAAAATTAATTATGTTGATTGATTATCTGCAGAAAGTAAAACAATCAATTCTGAATATTATTTCAGCTTTTTGGATCAGCTGGATGAAAAAATTCATGCATTCATTGCAGCACAAAAAAATCATTTTTCATCAAGACAATGACTTGCTCACAAAGGTTTTTTGGAAATGACAAAATTCAACGAATTAAAGTACGAATTCCTTGAGCAGCCACCGTATTCATCAGCTTTGGCTCTCAGCGACTACCACCGCTTCAAAAACCTGAAAAAATTCCTTCGTGGAAAGCGTTTTTCGTCGAATGAAGAAGCTATTACAGCCGTAGACAGGTATTTTGCAGAGCTTCCGGAAAGTCATTATAGGGATGACATAAAATTATTGGAGGATCATTAGAATAAGTGTATTGAAGTTAAGAGAGATTATATTGAATAAACAAATATATTTCGTACCAAAAACAGTATTCTTTCACTTAGAACGCAGAAACTTTTCAATCAACCTGCACATGAATGATTCGAACACTCACTCTTCTCTTTAAGGAATTTTAACGATTTAAAGAAAAAACTCACTGAATAATGCTATAGATGGTTAAAGAGTTAAAACGTCCTGAGACTATATTTCTAAATTTATTTACAATGCTAAACTAAATAATAAATATACACCGCACACACGCTGTTTAAATTGTTTTATCGTCAACAATAATTATTTATCATTTAATTTGTTAATTACTTCGAGTAAAGTAAATTTGTTAATAAAAAAACACTGAAAAAATTAAAAAAAAAAACAGCCGACGCTTTTAGTGAAACTGTACAAAAACCTTGAATTTGAAACTAGAAATAAAATTTTTGCAAAACAAACACAAACTGTCTTTTATATAAATACAGTCGACGAGAAATTGCAGAATACATATATTGTAGTTTGCAAAAAATTTAGAGCGACATGTGTGTTTTATGTTTATCCATACACTTTTGTAGGCACAGCAGTCATTAGATAAATTGAATTGATTGTTAAAAAAAAGCTCATTTTTGGTTATTTCAGTTTATTTTTCAAGTAGCGAATTTATTGACTCATATCTTGTATTATAAATGCCAACGCTTAACACAACATTATCCTCAACCTTTGAGATATACAATAGTTGTTTAAACGATTTATTAAACAAGAAAAAACGTTAACTGCGGTTGCAATTAATAATAAAAAAAATATTTATACAAATACTTACTTCTGGGAAAATGGGAACCATTGTCTGTTAAACATGTGAAAGACAAGCTTATAAAAGCAACTATGGTCTTCAATAATGTGCACAGTCTGTCATTTAGCTAGCTGCAAGGCGTGCGAACTTTACTATTTGAACGGTATTATTTGCTGAAATATTTCAATGGAATTGAGGCTCGTGTTCTTCGTCATTTCCCTGACTGCTGTTCAAATTGTTTACGCGCAAAATTATTGCGACAGATCCCTTTGTAGTTCCGGAAATCATATCGCATGCAATAATAATGGGGTAAGAGGAGCGTTTAGACGCCGTATAATCTCAAATTAGCATTTTAAGTTAATATTTGAAAATTTTAAAGAGATTCGCAGCGTCCTGCCGAAATGCCGCCATGGTAACACTGACACAGGCACATAAGAATCTTATCGTCAGGCTGCACAACACAAAGCGAAACACAGTGGCGAGTGGTAGGACGAAATTGAGGCCGGCCTGTCGCATGAGCACTATGCAATGGGACGATGAATTGGCCCGAATGGCAGCGTTCAATGTTAAACAATGCCAAATGAGGCATGACTCGTGCCGCAACACCCAGACCTTTAAGTATTCGGGTCAGAATTTGGCTAGGTCCAGTTACAATGGCACTCCGAATATACGGAATTTGTTACAAACCTTGATCAATATGTGGTATAATGAAATTAAGGACACAACTATGGCGTACATCAATAGATATCCAAACAATTATAGCGGGCCGTTAGTATTATATGGAGTCAGTGTTGTGTTGTGACTAATTTTCAATTGATTTATGTATTTGCAGCACAATTGGTCATTTTACGGTTATGGTTGGGCAAGCGAACACTCGTGTGGGTTGTGCGGTTAGTACCTATTCAGTGGCGGGTCGGTCAGGTAGGACGTTTCTTTTGGCCTGTAACTATGCGACTACCAACATGATCGGTCAAGCGATGTATAGGACGTGTTCAACTGCGGCTTCTGGTTGTAGGACGGGTAGAAATACAGCCTTTCCTAGTCTTTGTTCGAGATCCGAAGTTTATTGATTATAAAAAAATATATATATATATATTTGTATGCATATGTCGTTTAAAAATTTGGTTGGGTGAAGCACATATTTTTAGTGGTTTAGTGGTAGTTCTGTGGCTTAACCGATAACCTTTTCAAAAGTTTTCGGAGGTAAAGCGCTTTATACCTGAACTTACAGTAGAGAGCGAAAGAAAGAGAGAGTGAGTGGCAGATGAAACAATGTTTGTACTTGTTTTCCGTATTTATACTTTTTCGCTGTTTTGTTGTCTCTGAGAGTGTACACTATTATGTATTTCTTGAAGAAGCGAATGCCAGTATTTACCATAACTACAAAGCAAAAGAATCTAGCCCCCTTAATGCAAAGAAACAACTCTTCCGCAAACTGGTAATTTTCGAGTCTTCAGTAGCGCTTTTCTTTTTAATAATACAAAGCGGCCGCTCAAGACAGTATTCAGTTAACCAAGTTCAAGTGATACTCGCAAAAAAAGCAAACAAAAAAAAACTTAAAAGGCGCAAAAAAGCATTATTTTATAAATCGAAAGTGAATTATGAAACTAGAATTTTGCAGTAGAAAGTTGGGATAAAGTGTACTTTTCCAGTGACTCATTGGGTACAGATCGGCTTTTTTTTAATACGGAGTACTATATTAAATAGATTTGTAGAAAAACTATGTCTAACCTCAACGGCGAACTCTGTATGTTAGAAAACTTTAAGATATGGCTGTAAGTTATTGTATATAAAGAGTGCACGGGGACGGCGGTTAGCTTTTATCATTGGTGAGCACGTGAATTCACCTCGATCAATCTTTCGAGCTTTTTTTGTTGCTTTTTTTGCTCCAAAAACACAAGGGAAATCCTCAGTTTACCGACGTTCGAACAAATTGATAATTTAACCGCAAAACAAAAAATACGGGGATAAAAAGTATTGTAGAACTACGCCTAAGACAAAACAAAGTACGAGAATTTAAAAACAACACACAAAAACAAAACAACAAAAATATAAATAGAACAATTAAATGATAACTCCAAGTGTGCTGAACTAAAACAAATATTTTCCAAAATTATAATTTTTCATGTGTTACATGAAATGAGAACAGCTTTGGTCAGCTAAATAGATACAATTCAAATCCATTATATATATGCCCTGAACAGTTTCTGAGATAGCGATCTGAAATTCTGCACACGTTCTTTTCTCCCCAAAAAGCTGCTTGGAAACATCGATATCGGACCACTATACGACCGATATTGGCATAAATTATTATCTCAGACATCGCTACAATCTCCGAATATATTGTTCAGATTGATAAAGATCTCTTTATACCCTTTCATGCTATAAAAAATGCATCTGTGAAGGGTATTTTAACTTCAGTGCAGTCGAAGTTAACGTTTCTTCTTGTTTTTATTATTACTATATTTGGGGTTTAAATTTTCTTAAGTAATCTAAATAAAAAATTTTATAACCATAAATTTCCAGAAGTAATTGGAAGGGCTAGTTTGCGCAGTTAAAAGTATAAATTTTAAGCATACCATAAATTTGATGAAATGTAGAAACACTTAGCAGTAAAAATAGTGAAAAGTTAGGTTAAGGTATGTGAAACTATTTTATGAGAAGGGCTGTCATCTGCTGAAACAGTTTAATTTTTTTTTTGATTTATAAATTACAGGCACTAATATAATGTAGATACCCAAATGGGATGTTTTAAGAGTGCTTGAAACATAAAAAAATTTGAGTAGAGTTGCCACTGACTGGAAATTTTTCTGTGAATAAAATGTATAATAACAAATGAAATATTATGATATGGGCACCAAACTGTACAGGTTTAAGTATAAGTTCTTATAATTTTATGAGCAGGATACTTTTTTAGACCTTGCCACATATTCAAAAATCGCATTAAATGAATAAAACAACTTTTTAATAACCAAAAATATTACAATATTACTACGAAAATTCATTGAGAAACTTAATCGAACATTTAGTTGCCGAAGAAAAATAAAAACAAAAACTTGCAAAATAATCTTTTCACTACCGTTCCCACTTAGATGGACGCTGCTATTTGTAATATTTATTTATTATTTTAACTTCAAATAATTACAAAACAAATTTGTGGTTAAAGTGTTATCTAATGTAATTAAAAAATGAGTTAAAAAATACCATAAAAGCGAGTGGAGAACCAGAAATTTCTCATAGTCAATTATTACATAGCCGATAAACACACCATAGAATACAAAAAGGAGTCTCAATTATTGTCTCAGAATGGAAATGAAGTTGCTGTTAGTCGCCTTCTTCCTCACGGCGCTACAAATCGTAAATGCTCAAAATTACTGTAATTCGTCCTATTGTGGATCCAGCACGCATATTGCTTGCAACAACAATGGGGTGAGTTGGAAGAGCTAAACCAACACTGCAGTGACTAATACGCAATTTACTTGTACTGTTAGACATTCGCAGGGTCTTGCCTAAGTCCAGCCTTGATCAATTTTACACAGACGCAGAGGAATGCGATCGTCAATTCGCATAATGCCAGACGTAATACCGTGGCTGCCGGCAATACAGCACTAAGCCCAGCCTGTCGCATGGCCACCATGCAGTGGGACAACGAATTGGCCACGCTGGCGGCGTTAAATGTCAGACAATGTCAATTGAGGCATGATGCCTGTCACAATACAGATGCTTTCCAGTTTTCCGGTCAAAATTTGGCGTGGATAACTTTCTTAAACACGGCGAATGTTACGAGCTTGTCTTTACAATCAATTAATATGTGGTATAGTGAGATCAATAACACAAATATGGCGTATATAAATTCGTATCCGAATAATTATCAAGGACCGTAAGTAAAATTTTTCAATTTTCGAATTAATTTTAGTAATTTTTGTATGAAATTTCTGTCGCATAGCGCAATTGGTCATTTCACCGTTATGGTAGCAGATCGTAATATTCGCTTAGGCTGCGCTGCTTCTACCTACAACGTATCCGGTCAACAATATAGAGCATTCTTATTCGCCTGTAATTATGCAACAACAAATATGATAACCTTACCAATTTATAGGAATTGTTCGGTAGCAGCTTCAAATTGCACGACTGGCACAAATCCGTCATACAGTAGTCTTTGTTCGGCCTCGGAAGCGTATGATGTTAATACATTTGCTTAAAAGTGTGTAATTCTAAATGGAATTCAAGTTTTGTAATGTTTGAAAAGTCAATAAATTAAGACTAACATATAATTAATACACATGGATAAGGAGAAAAAAAATACCGATTTTCTTCGAAAAAAAAAACAGCATTTACCTACAATTCGAACCTTTTTACAAGATTGTTTCAATCCAACCATACGCCGCGTAGACCTTCTATTGTAGTAAACTGACTTAATTTAGACAATGAATCATAGCTCTTCACAAATTGTATAAAATACAGCTAGTCTAATTATCCTTAACTTCCACATTTTAATCGAGTTAACTGCCATAGTTTAGATCATGCCAAAACATTGCTTTCTACATACTGTTACAGGAGAGCGATCGATGAACGAGTATTAACACTGAATTTGAACTATACCATAAAGTATAAGCTACCACTAGGGGAAGGGCGGTTTAAGGGTAGCTGTCACCGATTGAGGGAATTTATTTATATATGATAAAACACAGTTGAACGTGGTCTCTATTGTAGAAGGTCTGGCTATCAGCGATTGCTACATTTTTCACCTATATACGCGAGCAGCGCTTATGTGTTAATAGTAAAAATGTTCGGCAGTTCCTATTAGGACCGGAGAACCTGATCAAATCAGCCATACCTAATAACCTTTTGCGTGAAATTTTAAATTAGATACAGTTTAATTAACTCAATAATATAACATTTTTCCGAAAGCTGCCACCAAACTATACAAATAGAAGTTGAACTTAAAGTTACGAGCAGCAGCTATATAATTACAGCTTGGTTTTTATTTTGCAGGCCTGCGTGATTTAATACGTTTTATCGCCAACAATTCCGTTATTACATTTTTCAAATAAGTTTGTGCTGTTTGGAAAAAACGGCTGCACAGAAGCTATAATACCCTTCACAGGTGCATTTTTTATAACATAAACGGGTATAAAAAGATATTTATCTTGATTTTGATCGATCAGTTTAAATGGCAGTTTATGGTGAAGCGGTTCAATTTGAACAATTTCTTCGGAGATTGTACCGTTGCCTTCGACAAAAATCCCTTAGGCATAAAAGATTTTTGAAACATGGACTTGTTTTTCATAGATCTGTTTATATGGCAGCTACTTATATATAGTGGACCGATATCAACGGTGCTGACAAAGCTGCTTCTTGGGAAGAAATGACATGTTTTATAGGGCCTCTGAAGTTTATTTCTTTACTATATAGGATCTTCAATACTTCTTTATTATTGTTGTCGAGATTTTTCGCGAGCTACTCAACCGTTCTTAGTGAAATTTTACACAGGTCTTCAAGATATAATTTACGAGGTCTTGAATGAATGATTTGTTTCATTTACAACTAATAAAAACAAAAGTCAAACGTCTGCCAAAATACGATTTTCACTAATAATTAGCATAATTAGCTTTATTAGGGGGATTGCGTGCGATTGCACAGCCAATTTATTATGAAGTTATCCTTCGTCTATTACCTTAATTAAACTCTTAATTAAAACAACTATTACTTTATTTTTACTTCATATGATCCTGTAAGAGTTTTTCGATGGATTAACTTATAGTTTGAATAAAATATTTAATCACTTAATCTCTAACATTTTTCAATGCTATACTATTGGCAAAGAACTTTTACAAATTGAACTTCAGAGCGCCAGGCCTAACACTGAGCCGTGTCATATGATACACCCTAATGATACATTTAATGATACATAATATAGAAAGCTCTAAATTATACAAAAAAAAAAAAAAGTTTATTAGAAAGAAAGGCGAATGCCTGTCCAAAGGCTAATGCCTGTCCAAATAGCTACCTATCAACAGTACATGACCAGCAAATGATTTGTTGGAGAATTTTTTGGCCCAAGGACTAAATTTTATTAGTTAAAACAGTTAGATACACATCACTAATGAACGGCATCTGAACATGTGGTATCTTGTAGTTGTGTGTAAAGATAATGAACTTGTGATCGTAAACTTAGAATATGTTTAGCATCACTCTCCATCATTGTGTCTGCTAAGCTTAAGTCAGCAAACTGACTAAGGTTGTAACCGCCGATTGCTGACTTCCTAGAGTTTATGTAGCTGTGCTATTAGCAGCTCTCTCTGCACTGCGAATTTTAGTTTTGAAAATTTTTGAATACATCTGCTTACTTTGGAGTGGAATACTACTACTCTACCTTGTGACTCCTCTTTATAAGCAATCTGAAATAGTTTGCTGGGTACTTATAAACAATCTTGTAGAAAATTACTCACTTAGAAACATATATACGTATATGGGTAGAGATATGAGTGTTGTATACATTAGCACTGATAAGAATAGAAAAACAAAATATTTGTTTACCTGTACAAATTATAGTTATTTTTTAGAATGGCAGTAATTATATTTTCTTAAAGTATGGGTGGTTGCGTTTTGAGATCATTAATGAATTTCTTTCGATAAAGAAATGTACAAACAAAAAATTTTTTAATAGAAGCGATATCAGAGCTTTTTAGGAGTAATAAATGTAGATAAGAACATCTTTGTTTTGGATTTGGAAGACTTGAATTTATGAAATAAAAGACAACAGTGTGATAAGTCTATGATCATGTTTTAAATACCATAAATAAAAGAGCTTGTTTCAACCAACCACGCTTCTCGTCTGATTTGGCAGGACTAACCTTACAGTTATTAGCCCTATTTTGGAGCTACATACTGTATTGAAAGCATAGTTTAGGAAATCTAATCTTTATAGTAGAAAGCAATGAATATGAAACGAAGCTTAGCTCTGTGTGTTTAACATATTCTAATTAACGCTATATTTTTATCAAGTACTTCAATTGTGATTTATAAGTACCAAGTGACCCATCATTTGTGACATTTACAAGTCAGTTGAGTTGGTTAGACAAGTGTTGAACATGCAGAAGAGGATCATTCAAGATCTAAATACGAAGTTGCATGACCCAGCCGGCGTTTGGCGCAAAACCATCATTAAAACATATATTTTCAAACGAACAAAATAGTCACCGGAAATTGATAACGATGGATTTTAGCTCGTTTGAGCACTCGCAAATGTGTGAATGTGAGATCTTGATGGTGACTAGATTTAACAAGAAGTTTCACAAGTCAAACTGTGAATCAAACTATTCAGTTTCTGCAACAAAAATAACCAGGACGGCATTAAGTGGCCGCCGAAATCCACAGATTTGACTTTCCCGGTGGATGTCAAACCCAAGCATTTATAAAAAGGTGTCTTCGTCAAAGGAGTATTAAGTACATATAGCTTCGACTTTAACATGTTTCTTTTAACGATAAAATAAAATAAACGATGTGCATTAAACAGATAAAATATTTCTAATAATAATCTAAATAGTCGGTTTACTTGAAAATATTAACCAATACATATATGAATTTGAAATTATAAAAAAATGTTTGGCAAAACAAACATAAAAATACTTTTATTTGAATAGAGTCGACGTAAACTGGCAAAATAAACCTACGCCAATACAGTGTGCATAAAATTTATAGCGACATATGTGACATACATATGTTTATTCATCTCCATTTGTATCTACATATCAAAAAATATATGTTTATATAGTTACAGTAGGCACTAGATAATGTGAATTAAACATTGTAAAACATTTTCTAGAAACTTCCTTACAGACTTAATGACATGATATACAATACTTCTACTAAAGGACAAATACGTGTACCTTGTCTTAGTTTGGCTTTTTCATATAGAGATTAAGTCTTTAAGGGGTTACATGAATTTCGTCGAGCAAAACACGCCCTTTTTTCAATATTTTTTTTCATATAAAAAATGAAATATTTTATTCAAACTTTTTATTATTTCAAAGATACATATTTGATAAAGATTTTGTGAAATTCAAAGACCGTCTTTGAAAACACAGTTTCGAGAAAAACGCGTTGAAAGTTTCAAGTGACTATATTTCTGACCACGAGCGCGCCACTTTTTAAAGCTGTACTTCCAAAACTATTACTGGGATCAAGTTAAGAACTAAGCACAATATTCTACAGATGTTATAGTATTAAATCAGAAAATAAAAAATTTTATGTTTTTTGAAGCCGTGAAACCCATCGCTTTTTAACTTATAAAGCTGAAAGTAGAGAGAGAGGGAACTACTACTACTGGTTTCTGTTTTTATGCTTTTTCGTTTCCGCTCTCTGAGACTAATTTCTTAATTTGCGCACTCTTCTTCCTCCTGATAGTTTACTAATTCTGGCAGTAAAGAAACAAAGCTAATATTTACATCAACTATAAAGGAAATGCCTCAAGATCGCTGCACTCAAAGAAAAAAATCTGCCGCAAGCTGGGCATTTTCGCGTTTTCAGTAGCGTTTTTGTCTTTAATCATACAATGGAACAGTTCAAAACAGTATTCAGTTAAGCCAGGTTCAGCTGGTAATCGCCGAAAAAAAAGAAAACAACAAATTAAGGGAAACAAAAAAAAATAATTATTATTTATGAGTTAATTTTTTAGGTATTGAAATCCCCTTTTGTACAAGTGCTTTCCAACTATATTTTATTATTGGGTAATAAACATTTATTGGATAATAAAAAACTCATCTCCCATATAACAGTAATATCCAAAATTACTAAAGCTGCGACAAGTAAAACTAACAGTAATATGAATTCAAAGTTAGGCAAGCAGCTTGAAAATCAATGGCTTTACAAATGAAATTTTTGAAGAAATATTTTACTCACGCAGAACAATTTAACAACGAAGCTTTACAAGGTTTAGCTCTCTCTTATGGCAAAATACTGACTTTTAGTAACCAGAAAATAATTAAAGAAGTAAAACACCAACTATAGCAAAACAAGATCAGGAATATTTCTGCGGTAGACCCGAGAAAAAATTGGCCACTGCCCACTTCTACTTATGCTGACATGGCCCAGAACACTTCTTTACATATCCTAAGTAGTAACTCAACCTACATCCTCATTCCTGAGGTTCTATCCTGACAAAACAGCTTGTTTTCTGAACCTACCGTTAGATGAGATCGTTGACAGCATATAGTTTTGCTTTTATACCTAAACAGAGTTTTAACAGTCACTACAATAACAACTATGATGCGTTCTTGCATTGATGTAAAAATGGTTAAAATTAAACCACAACCGCAGGTTCTTCGCGTTGAATGCTTTTTTAAAAGACATCCGTTTTTGTAAGTTTATAATAAATATAATATATATATAATATGTATATATATATATATATAGATGGGACCATACGAGTATTTAAATACGCTTAATTGTGGCAACTATCTTCTAACAAAGTCAGAAAATAGTTCCTTAGCTTCCATAGATCGAATAAAATGATCCCGTCATTCCGTATATTATATATCATATTACCAAACAATATGGAAGCAGTTCGTAAGTGCAATAAACTTAGTATAATGTTATTGGCTATATAACATGTTTAACAGGGCTTGTTATCTTCTACAAACCACCTTACCGACGAAAATGCAGCAGCGCAACAAATATCATTCCCTTAAGGGTTTAGGGGTAGTCAGAATTTTCAAAAAATCAATTTTTTTTTTTGCATTTTTGTTAAGTGTAATATTTTGAAAATATTCTCTGAAAATGATCCGTTGATCCGATAATTACTTTTTGAGGTATTCGACAAATAACAAAACGTCTCGGGCACTTCAAGTTTTTTTTGTTGAAATTTTCGTGACTTCAAGTCAAAACTTTGTATAATAATGCCATATTACTACTTTTGTAAAAAAAATATGATTTAATAGCAAAAAAGAATTGCTGAAAATTCTCATTTTTTCGTGCCTTTGACTTTTGCATAGTTTTTATCTTATCTCTCATTATCTGCACCTTATCATGCATTTTTCTTATATTTACCGGCAGAAGTTCTATATATGTATACTAAAACTAGCAAATGAAACAGCAATATCAAGCCGCCTTGACCCGCTGTAAGCTCATTCTCTTTGGCGCGGATTGCTACATTTAGAAAGTAAAGTTACAAAATAAAGCGGATTCCATCTCAAAAAGATACAAGTGTCGATCTAACTAGATTGCTTTCATAATAGTGTATGTATTTCGTATATTTATTTCTTGAGGGTGCCTAATATCTAAAAATCGGTCTAAATGGCGTTACGCGAATTTTAAAAACAGATCTATGGATTCTGTATACTTTCTAAATTTAATAGTAACAGTGAAAGACCATAAAGTTCAAATATCTCACACTTGAAATTCTATATTTAAAAACGATACAAGAACAGCTAGTAGAGCAGATGCAGCTCTTTCTATTGTCTCTAAAAAAATTAAGATTTGATTTTAAGTGATTTAAGGAATATGGGTTGAAGTGTACATTCCGAAAGACTCATTCGATCAAGCCTGAATTTTTTTGGTAGCTTATAATATTCAAAAGATTTGTCGTAATGGATCCATTCGTGGCAACGACAATATTGAGTACAAAACTCATACAGGTCACCTTTGAGTGTGCCCTTAAAGATTTCAAAATTCAATATTAATCTTAAACGGATCGTCCATCGTCGAAACAAATTAATAATTTAATGGCAAAACAAAACAAAAATTAACGTAGAACCGACGTCAAAGAAAAAAATAAAGTACCAAAATTGATAAACATCACAGAAAAATAAAACAAAATATAGAACAGTTAAATATTAACTCCAAGCGTGCAAAACTAAGACAAATATTTTCGAAAGATCTATTTTTTTCATATGTGAGGAAGAACAACCTTGACTAGCTAAATAGAATTGCAGTGTTACTTGGAATTTAATTTTTCTTAAGTAATAAAAATGAAAATTTTGTAATTGTTAACGAAAAGTGTATAACCTTAATTTTCCATAATTAATTGGAAAGTTATTTATTTTATTTTATTTTATTTTTTTATTATTTTTCTTAGAAGAGCTGCCACTTGCCTTAACATTTTCATACCATAAAATATTTCAATTAAAGGTTTGCTTACAATATGGATAGCAAACTGTGAAGACTTAAGAGTTTTTGCATCAGAAATCAAATTTTGAGCGGAGTTGGCACAGTTTTGAAATTTCTTTTTTAGAATTTAATTCAAAAAAAAAATTAAATTTTATAATCTCCGCACTAAACTGAACAGATCTAAGAAAAATATCTTAACATTTGAAGAGCGCAATAATTTTGTAGACGTTGTCACATATTCATAAATCGCCTTAAATGGATAAAACATGTTCTTAATAACTATAAATATAATAGCGAAAAATCGGCAATACTTTTGCCTATACATAGAGTAATACGAAGAGACACTCTCTCGAACATTTTTTAAATTGTCGAAAAAAAAAATGTAAATTCCACCGTTTCTAATTATATGACCGTTGCTATTTACTAATTTATATGCGCAAAATATGTATTAATTTGTTTAGCTTATAATAAATACAAAACAAAAGTCTGGTTGAAGTGTTATCTACATTAATTAGCAATGAGTTCAAAAAAAAGCCATAAAAGCGGACGGAAAACTGAAAAGTTATCATATTCAATTATTGCACAGCGAGGCGTACTATCGTGCTTTCACACGCAGATAAACACACAGTAAAATACACCAATACTCTCAATTATTGCGTCACAATGGAAATGAAATTTGTGCTACTCGCCTTCTTCCTCGCGGCGCTACAAATCGTAAACGCGCAGAATTACTGTGATTCGTCTTACTGTGGAGCCAGGACGCATATTGCTTGCAACAACAATGGGGTGAGTTGGAAGAGCTAAACCAACACTGCCAGTGACTAATACACAATTTTACTTTTACCGCTAGAATTTCGCAAGATCTTGACTAAGTCCAGCCTTGGTCACTTTTACACAGGCGCAGAAGGACGCAATCGTCGATTCGCATAATGCCAAACGTAATACCGTGGCTGCCGGCAATACAGCGCTAAGCCCAGCCTGTCGCATGGCCACCATGCAATGGGACGAAGAATTGGCCACACTGGCGGCGTTGAATGTCAAACAATGTCAAATGCGGCATGATGCCTGTCACAATACAGATGCTTTCGAGTATTCCGGTCAGAATTTGGCGTGGATTACTTTCTATAATACGCCGAATACTACGCGATTGTCTTTACAATCAGTTGATATGTGGTATAATGAGATTAAGGATACCAGAATGGCGTATATAAATAGATATCCGAATAATTATCAAGGCCCGTAAGTATTGCGTATATGGATTTTTTTTATTTTCGGATTAGTTTTAATAATTTTTGTATGAAATTTCTATATTGTAGCACCATTGGACATTTCACCGTTATGGTGGCAGATCGCAATATTCGCGTAGGCTGCGCTGCTTCCACCTACAACGTATCGGGTCAACGATATAAATCATACCTATTCGCCTGTAATTATGCAACAACAAATATGATCAACTTCCCAATGTATAAGAGTTGTTCGGTACCAGCTTCGGAATGCACGGCTGGTAAAAATCCGAAATACAGTAGTCTGTGTGCGGCCTCCGAAAGGTATGAAGTTAACAGATGGTACTGAAGTAATATGACAGTAAATGGAATCCAAGTTTGACTTTTACTTTGAATGGTTAATAAAATTAAGATAATATTAATAATAATAATATTAATATACATACATGGATTTATAAAATGCGAGGCAACCGATTTTCTTCGAAAAAAAATCATTTACCTGGAACTTGAACTTCTCTACAATAACGTTTCAGCGATCACTAGTCCAACTAGGCTGCGCTTAGATCATCTAATTTTTGTCCTTACAACTTCTTTTGAAGTTAACTGTCTCAGTTTAGACGCAGCCAAAACTCATTTTGTACTGTTACAGTAGAGACATCAATGATCGAGTATTATTACTGACTTCGGACTGTACTATTGTATATATAGTGTAACGTAGTATAGTCTGAATCTATTTAGGTATATTGTGGTATGTTTAGGGTTTGGTGTTACCAAAGAGCTTCCAAGAATTTCTTTATAAAACATATAGGTAAAACATTTAAAAGCATGGTTGAACGAAGTATCCATTGTTTATAAGCAAGTCGCTATTAAAACATTGATTTAAGACACTGCAATTCTGTAATCGCACTTATAACTTATCATTCCTATTAAAGTCCAAGAATAATTTTCGCGATGTGCACATAAGTGGAAGAAATTCTCGACAGTTTCTAATTAGCATCGAAGAACATCGCTAAAAAGGCATATCTTATAATTCGCTTCCGTGAAATTTTAAATCATATACATTTTATATAATAAAATATTATCCCGAAAACTGTTGTGTACATAGTTAAACCAAACAAAAACAAAAAGAACTTGAACTTGAAGTTACAAGCAACAGCTGTATAATTAGCGCACGGTTTTTATATTGCAGGCCTAAGTGAATAAATACGCTTTATCGACAACAATTTCCTTGTTACCTTTTTCAAATATTTTTTTTTCTTTTTTCCTGTTTTGAAAAACAAAAAAATACATTGTATAACAGAGAGAATGTATGACTCACTTCAGTATATTACATTTAGAACACTGAAATTTCTCCAAGCATTTTCCAAACATATACCCAGTAAACCAAAAACAACCAATTGACCCGTGAATTATGTGAGTACTGAATGAAAGAGAAAATCTACATCAAATATGAATAGAAAGCAAAACCTAGAAAAATCTTCAAGTAAATTACGTTTTTACAAGTATGTTTGTAAGAGCCGTACAATTCTCGTCGTACAATTTTACCTGCAAGAATTTGCCACTCTCGCGTTTTCTAATGCCATCTCTTGCAAGTTATTTTAGCATCGAAGGCATTTTCTTTAAACAAGCGCTTGTGGCAATTCGTAACAGTTTTTTTCATATTAAACAGAATTGCTGCTGAAATGCTACTATTTATTTGAGAAAGATGAAGACTTAGATATTTTTGATATAATGAAATCACTTCGAAAACTCATCACGTCCACGGTAGTGACATTATTTTATTATTATTATATTTATTTACATAACCCTCAACTATTACCGAAATTCCAAGTTCCGAAACATTTAATCTATTTAAATTCTTCACCAATGTCAAAGAACTTTACACAAATTAAACTCCAGAGCTCCAGGCGCCTGACATGCTTCAATGATGCACAGTGTTTTTTTTGGAATGCAATGATCTTACTTATAGGAAATAAATTCTTTTACTGGTTCGTTTTTTTAGCAGAAAGGCTAATGCGTGCCAAAACTCAAAAAAGTCTCAAAACTCCCTCAACAGTATCATCAGTATGAGAACAGCAGACGATTTGCTTGAGAAATTGTTTCAAAGATGTAAATTTCTGAAGATCTGAACATGTGCTGTCTTGTACTTTTTTGTAGAGTTAATTAATTAGTGGACGTGTAGTAAGGATATATCCAACATCCCACTCCAATATCGGCGCATATAATCTGAATTTAGCAAGCCTATCGTAATCTTACCCAACGTATGATTTGTGACTTGACACTTCCCAGCTGTGCTATTAGCTACCCACTCTGCTCTGAGAATACCGGTTTGGGATGTGAGCTGGAACTGATTCCTCATCCATCTAGTAGCAAAAATTTAAACATATTAAAAAAAATTTGCTGATTCTACTCAGTGACCCTTTTTTATATGCGATCCGTAGAAATGGTTTGCTGGGTATTTATAAACAATCTTGTAGCAATTAAAGCACTTACAAACCTATATACCTATGGGCAGAGATATGGGTGTTGTGTATATTTGTACTGATAAGAATAAGAAAACAAAGCTAAAATATTTGCGCAGGTAATTAAGTTATTACTTAGAATTATAGTAATTACTTGTACATGTTCGTATATTGCGGTTGGTTGCATCATGGAATTATGAATGAATTTCTTTCGATAAGGAAATGTACTACATAAGTATTTGCAAACAAAACATTTTTTAATAGAAGAGATATCAGCGGTTTTTAGGAGTGATAAATGTACATAAGAAGCGGTTTGGATTTGGAAGATTTGCTCGTAGAACTCTTAAAATATAAAAAAAAAACAGTGTGATAAGTCGTTTATGTTTTGAAATACAATATAAGGTTTGTTTCTCGTCAATGAACTATTTATCTGATTTGGAAGCACTAAACATAAAGACCTTTCGTTTCAGAGTTGCGTCATGCATTGAAAGCGAAGCTCGGGAGGTCTGATATTTATAATGGAATGTAGTGGATATGAAACGAAACTTAGCTCAGTGTTCAACGATATTTATTCTACGCGATACTTATCTTAAATACTTCAATTCTGATGTATACATCATTTACGACATTTACTAATCTGTTGACTTGGTTAGACAAAGTACGAAAGCAGATGACATCGTTGAACGTACGGAAGAAGATCACTAAAGATCCAAAAATGCCTTTGCGTGATCCAAAAGTGACGGCTTAAGCCAAAGTGCGCTACAAACCCAACATTAGACCAAATGTTTTCAAACAAAAAATCAAAAAAAAAATTGCTGGATAGCCGTCCACTTGACTGTTGCGGATTTGACATTTTCCGAAATAAACAATTAAGGCTCATATTAAATAAAAATCTCTTAAATAAGAGTGTTGTTTTTACAATGGTATGCATTGTTTACATACCGACCTAAAAAATTGCGCACCCTGTATATATAGCACATAACTACAAGGTCTTCATGAGCAAGAGCAAAATAAAGTGCTTGTAACAAAGAGCTTATATTTCTGTGGAAAGTTTTACGAAATATTTATCAAGTTACTTATTTTCCACTTATTTAGGAAGTTGGCAATTGATTTATCATAGCACAATATGGCAAGCAATGGAGTTACAGACACGGGATTTTCGTTGCTTGCTCGAAGCTTTAAAGCTCTGACGGCTGATTTATAGCATCGAAAATGTTTAAACAAGTAAGTAAGGGCTAAGTTCGAAATCATACTTGTACATACACACATATATACTTTTGGAAGATACAAGTGAATAGTTTTCTTAATTTGCTAAATATTAGCCTACAAAATAGAAAACGATATTTTTAGAAAAATTGTTTGTACAATATGTTTTCTGGTGGTCTACAAAGTAGGCCTCTTTTTACGCGATAAACTCCTCATTCGATTCAAATGACTGAACATGCCTTCTTCCTCGGCTACAACTTTTTCCAAAACAAGTTACGTGGACTTTTCTCACTTTATCCTCCTTGATAGTCGATTTCGAGCAACTGGACGTGGTTCAGCAAACTCGGACTACCCAATTTCTCTTTCAAAAGAATCAATTCACAGTTTTATGTTTTTTTTTTCATCTTTCCCGACAGCTAAATACAACCATGACGTCATGAATGATATAGGAAAGCCTTTGTTGACAATTGCTATGAAAATTGGAAATTTAATTTTGTTTATGACTTTTCGTGTCGCAATCTTGTCTCTATCATTCCTTATAAAACGGCTTCTTGATACAAGTTTTGTATTTTTCAATCCCTCAATAGAGCAGGGTTGCAAATAATGCATTAAAAAAAATAATTAAATTAACATTTAAATTAAATTGTTTTTTATTTTGTTAAATTAATACGGAATTAAAATAAAAATAATCCCACATAACCGATTAAAAAAAAAAATTTAATCACAAAAACCGGATTGAAAAATAAAATAAAAAATAAAAATTTTAATCGCAAGCATAAAACTAAGTATTAAAAAAAGAATTTGTTTTAACATTAACATTTTTTCACGTTCATTCAAATCAAAAAAATGTGGAAAACGGTTGGCCTCAAGGGCTATCCCTGCAACTTCCCTCTAATTTCATACGCTAACGTTCAAATTTCGCTTTTTTCACTGCTTTTGAGCTCTTCGAAATTTTTCGTTTTCAATATCTCGCAAGTAAATCAACCGATTTCGACCCGGTTTGCGGCAAACGATGTGTTTTTTCAAGGTTTAGAACTGATGAAAAACGATTTTTCAAAATTTTTATTTTTGAGATTTCTCAAAATCTACTGGTCCGATTGGGTCCAAACTCACACGAAATTCAAGTGCAATGAAACCCTTTGGAATGCCATTTAGTTTATTCAAATCGGTTGAGCCGTTTAAAAGTTATAAGAGGGTCACATACATCCACACACACACACATACATCCACACATACATACAGACATACGGACATCATCGTAGAAATGTTCGGGGAAGCTTCCTCGACCCTCAAAACGTCGAGATCTGTTGAGAACTCGATTTTTGCAAAATGGGGTGAAACCAATATCTTCCCGATTTTTAGAAAATTTTCAATTTTCTTAGCGGGAAGTTAAAAAAAAATGTGTTTAAATTCCAACCCCAATCCAATTTTTTAAATCAAAAAAATCACAATACTGCGACAGTGTGACGACAAACTACTGTATAATCCAAAAGTAATTACTCTCTAATCAAATTTGATCCGCACCATTTTAACTGCGCGCACAAACTGAATCAATAAATATTTTTTTCTTAAATTGTTACAACTGTTTTATGTTTGTTCACCATATATCAATTAGTGTGTGTGTGTGTGTGTTTCCAACGCGAAAAGTTTGTCTGTCAATTTCTACCATGAAAAAAAGTAAACAACGAGTTTGCTTGAAATTTTTTATTTCCAATGAAATCACGACTACGAAATCGTACTTTATCACGAACACAAATATTTAAATGGCACAAAATAGTCAGTGAAGGTCGTGAAGTCATCGAAATCTTGCCTCATGCGAGTCGCCCACCCACCTCTGTTAATGTTGAGCCGCCGTGGATTCCAATATCTCTTATGGTTCGAATCAACACATTTGGGTTAATGTTTTGAGTATGAAGCGTGTCAATGCTAGACTCGTACCAAAGGACCTGAATCTTTTGCAAAACGACGTCGTGTAGAGTTTGCAAAAGAGATGCTTGACAACGTAGTTGAAGACCTTACATTCATCAAACGCATCATTACTGATGATGAGACGTGGGTTTATGAATATCACGTCGAAACTTTACACCAATCTGACGAATGATGCTTTAAAATAAGAGTCAAAGAAACAGAAATTCGCTGAAGGCACTGTAGACTATTCCAGCTGAGATTTATAGCAGGAGTATGGAAAATTGGATTAAGCGTTGGCATATTTGTATTGACTCAGTAGCCCATCATGAAGGCGACACTAAGGATTTATATTAAAATTTGTGTAAATGTAGACTTTTTTGTCAGTCCGGGTCAAATTTGATTCTGGCAAGGAACCTTTACAATATTGCGTTAAATTGGATTGTTTAAATGAGATAAGCCTCCCCTACACATACACGCCACTCTACTCGGCAAGAACTGGCGCACCCTAGTATAACCCATTACAATACACCACACTCATACATCACCATTCGGGACAACTCAACACACCACAGATACACCTCATTCGAAGTAATAGCGATCCTGCGCGCACCTCATTCGCTTATCGTCTTCGGGCCTGAGCGCCACATCAACTTCCCGCTTTTTAGAATTTTCGACTCTATAGCGATCAGATCTTTGAGCACCCGCCTAAATCGACTCCCTTTTTTTAATAATTTTGCCAACGGTGAGTGAAGTTAAAATTAACTTATTAATTAATTAATCATGGATGTTTGTGGTGATGTCAGAATCTTATGGTACGACGACACTGAGGACTGAGGTGTTCTTATATATACGCCAAAGATCTTTATCCAATTAGTTTTAATTAAATTTGCTTGGAGAGTGCGAACTCCAACCAATTCCACCAAAATCCACAAACTCACATAAAAATTCGTCAAAACTAGCGCTCACTTTGAAATATTTCGAAATCCTCAATGATATCACGATGAAATGGTGAGTAGAAAGTAGTAACACCATTTCACTATTCGATCGGAAATAAAACAATCGGAATATACAAATACATATACTTATTAACTATTTTGTATAATTGGACATGTATTTAGTTTTTATTTAGAGTGCAATAAGAATTGCATTGATATAAATATTACGTTGATTAATAGTTTAATATTTTTCCCATGGCGAACAAAGGTTACGGTAACGCCGATTTCGGCCAGTCTTACAAAGCGAAGCAGCGCTGGAGCAACTCTTGTACATTGGAAAACCGATCAAATTCGTCTTTGCATAATTACAAGCGAATAGGAATGCATATTGTGATTCATCCGGATCCATATAGGTAGAAGCAGCACAGCCTACGCGAATATTACGATCAGCCACCATAACGGTGAAATGACCAATTGCGCTATGCGACAGATATTTCATACAAAAGTTATTAAAAATAAACCGATAATTAGGAAATGGTTACTTACGGGCCTTGATAATTATTCGGATACTTATTGATATGCTCCATTTTGGTATTCTCGATCTCACCAGACCACATATGCACTGACTTTAATGACATTTCGGTTGTATTCGGTGAATCATTGTAGGTTATCCATGCTAAATTTTGACCGGAATACTTAAAGGTATCCGTATTGTGACAGTCATGGCTGCTCTCGCACTGTTTCACATTTAACTCTGCCAGTGCGGCCAATTCGTCATCCCACTGCATGGTGGCCATACGACAGGCCGGCTGTAGAGCAGACGTGCCACCAGCGACGCGATTGCGCACTTTATTGTGTGCTTGAACAATCAAATCCCTTTGTCTTTTTGTGAGTCTCACTACTTCCGCATCTATACAGCGCGTCGCAAAAGCCTGAGGGAAATGGCGAATAGTTAAAACAGTGAATGCAAAAAAAAATTTAATAGACACTCACGCCGTCGTGTCCGCAAGCAATATGTGGTGTCGAACGGCACAACTTCGGATCGCAGTAATTTGTTGCCAATGCCGCATTGACTGCCGTTAGAATGAGTAATATAAATCGCATTGCTAGCATTACAATTTGCGCCGATAAATTAGTTCCTAGAATATTGAGGATCGCACTGAGTGTTTCTCGCCGGTTGGCTGCACTTTTATAACCGTGCAACCGTCTGACGATAATTAGTTTAAGTAAAAAAAACAAAAAAAACAAACGTCAACTTCGGCTGCAGCGATACTGCTATAATACCCTTCACAGTTGCATTACTTACAGCAATTACACCTACATATGCATAATTAAACCTGCAAACGAAAGCGATCAACGATTTTCATCCAACGAAAAACGTTTCGATAGTTCTTTCTAGCCACTTTTTCGATATACAAGTAAGCACCTTCAAGGCGAACTAAGGTTACTTTGTAAGGCTAATGGATCGTTTATGAAGTTATGTATCTTAATTTTGCTCGTTCAGTTTGTATGACAGCTATATGCTATAGTAGTCCGAAATCGGCGGTTCCGACAAATGAGCAACTTCTTGGACAGGAAAGGGACTGTGCAAAATTTCAGATCGATATTTCAAAAACTGAAAGACCAGATTGATATGACTAAATCGTCTCAGCTCGTCACGCTGCTCATTTATATACCTATATACAATACTTATCGGGTCTCCAACGTTTCCTTCTAGGTTTTACAAACTACGTGACAAATTAATACACACTGTTCAGGGTATAATAGTTCTTTATCTGTTAATATAAATATAGTAAAACATGTGTTGCTCGTTAATTGAAATGGCGTTGTATTAAAACTGTACTCTGAGCTGACGAATAAAAAAAATATATTTTTTTTGGATTGAATAATTTATGGTCGAAAATAAACAATCAATGCTTCATACCTTCAACATGAATCTCGTTGCAATATTCTAACTAACACACATGCAGCAGGGAAAGTTTCAATCGAATAGAGAAACGTTTTGTTTCTTAAGGGCAAAAAAAAATGTCATGCAATAATATCGATATATACTTGTAGTAGACTATACTGAATTCATCCAATTAACTACTATGAAATTTTGAAGTGAAACATAAAGAGCATGCAACGAAAAGACTCCAATACAAGAGTGGTCTCCTAAACGAAGGTAGGGTTTCGAGAGCGAGAGGTTTTACCATAGCATTTCGGTTTAGTACTAACTTAGTGAAAAGAGAACCGCTAATAATTGAAATTTTAAATGTATTATGTTGGTTCCCGTTATTTTCTAAACGAATGAAGTTTAATTTTTCTTAAATATTGTCCTACACACACACACGCACATATTCAAAAGTATACATGCATATAGATTTGTATGCGGCTGTCCCCATATGTAGCAACATGGCGTATGAGTAATCAGGTAAATAAAGTCTGGTAATATCAAAAAAGAGTAGCCAAATCTTTATACGCAGGTTTCTGTAGTTTACATTAACCGCAATACCATATGTTAGTTTTTCCAAAAAGCATTTTTTCAATATTTGTATAAGTTCGCAGTTCCAACTAAAATTTAAGCAGTTTTGAAAGTATTTTGTATAGAAACGATGTACAAGCACACATACATATGCATTTCATTAATTTGACAAAGCGACATCTATATGTCAAATAATGTAATACCAAGGCGGCCAACAAATACACACACATATATACATATATGCTCTGCAAAAGGCAAACGTCAATGCGCCATGACAAGTCAGTTGTAAACTGAGTTTTGATTGCAAAATTTTTCTTAACCAGAACAAATTGTATTTAACTACGTTAGGTTTTTAATATTAGCTGTTTAATTAGAAATTGCACGAAATTGTGAAGCAGGCAAAGCCATTGTAAAATGGTGTACATAGATCGAGGTATAAACTGGAAGAAACCGGCTATACAATTAGCTGTATTAAATATGTGTCAACTTCCTGCATAGTGTAGTTCCTAATAAAAAAAAAAAGTTTAAATTCTTTAAAGTACACGTACTGCAATATTTAGAAGTGTTTGTTTACTATTATTTTTCGCTTGGCAAAAAATTATACGTTTAAAAGCTGCAAAAAAGCGCCGTACCAAATGTATATGACCTTCCTATATATTGGCAGATGAGGAAGTTTGAATTCGTTAAAGTACACGTACGATGTGCATTATTTAAAATTTCTTTTGAAATCAAAACAATATACCGAAAATTAAATAAAGACAGAAATTTGCAGCAATGCACAACTGCGTGTAGGTTTTGTATAAAATAAATAGTAAAAATGTATGTACATAAATATGTGTTTTGGAAAAGATTAATTTCGCTGATTAAATATGAAAAAAAAAATTAATACATATGTGTAGGTGTATGTATATATATATACATAAATATATGTCTCTATGTTTTTGTCGATTTTTAAATGTCCGTAGTTTACATTCGTTTCACTTTTTAATTGAAGTGCTTAGATCTTTTGTATTTTTATCTTTTGGCTCTGAGTTAATTTATTGATTTACTATGTATACTTTATATAAAAAAAAAGTTAGAAGAAAATTTAACTAAAACAAAATTCTCAATTGATTCAACAGATGGCAGCGTTTTGCAACGTCGTCCTTGGAGTGTGTCTCGCGTATTGGAGATTTTTACAGGACTTTGGTTCATTTCGATAACATTGTAAGTTATGCTGTGCATTACATTATAAGCTATATATAATTTTCTCTGCATATACCTTTTGTTAATGATTTGAATATAGTTTCAGAGAACTAATATCGCCATTCATGAAGGATGAGCATAGCAGCAGTGGAGGTAATAGCCGTAGAGGCGGTTGGGGCGGTGGCTTTGGTGGCGGTGGAGGAGGCGGAGGCGGTGGCGGTGGTTCTGGTGGTGGAGGAGGTGGTGGCAGCGGCGGCGGTAGCTTTGGACCTAACCGTCGTATAGGACGCATCAATAACACATCAATGGACGCACCTAGCTGTGGCAGTTGTTGTGGATAATTGGCAGTTGTGCCCAGCTATAGTTTATGAGACTTGACAAAATATGAATGAGCACTGCCTTACAGCATTTTGAGATTCGGTAAAACGAATCAGCTATATGTATATAACAACATTTATATTATATTTTTTTTTGTTTTTCAATTTTGCAATATTTTGAAGAAAAAACTTTTAAACTGACAAAAATTAAATACTGAATGCATATAATGCATAAAAATAATTATATAAGTATATTGTTTTTCAGTCTTTATACAAACATTTGTTTGTTATAATAAGATTCAATATCGAAATTTTAACTATAATTATACATTTTTTAAAATATTAAAAATATTTACACCAAAATATTTATAAATCTCACTCAAAAACAAGAAAATATTAGCTTCGCCTTTACCGATGCTATAATACGATTCTCCTCTTATAACATAAAAGGGTATACAAATAAATTTTTTTTGATTTGGATCGGTCAGTAATGTATAACAGCTAGATGCTATTGTCGTCCGATCTGAACATTTTTTTCGGAGATTATACCGTTGCCTTAGATAATAATACATACTAAATTTCGTGAAGATATCTCGTCAACTAAAAAAGTTTTCCATACAAGAACTGGGGTATAATCGATCCGTTTGTATGGCAGCTATGTGCTATAGTGGTCCAATCTGAACTATTTGTTTGGAGATTATAGTGTTGCATTGGACAATAATCCATGCCAAATTTCGTGAAAACATCATGGTTAATAAAAAAGTTGTCCATACAAGGATTTGATTTTGATCAATCAGTTTGTAGGGCAAGTTTATCCCATAGAAGTCCGATCTGAACAATTTCTTCAGAGACGGTACCGTTTCCTAAGATAATAATCCATGCCAAATTTCGAAAAGAAATCTTGTCAAATAAAAAAGTTTGTCATACAAGATCATCTATTGGATCGTTCAGTTTGTATGGCAGCTATATGCAATAGTCGGATCTGACAAATTAGCAGCCTCTAGGGGAGAAAAGTACGTGTGCGAAATTTCAGATCGATATCTCAAAAACTGAGAAACTCGTTTGCGTATATACAGACATACAGACAAGGTCAAATGAACTCAACACGTCACCCTGATGATTTTACACAACATTTATATTTTACAGGGTCTCCGAGGTTTGCTTTTGTGCGTTACAAACTTCGTGTCAAACCTAATATTCGCTATTCAGTGTATAATAAAAATCAATTAACACTGTACTATACTCACAGGCTTGGGAATAAAAAAAATAATTAAATTTATAAAATTGCCTATACTTTATTACGTAAATCGATGTATGTACATACATATACTTGTATGTAAGTATGTATAAATTTGGTAAAATCTTACTATGAGTTAAAAATAATATATGGAATCACAATAAAATATTTTTTTTTATAATAATATGTTAATACGTATGTATATATGTATGAAGGTAAACTTGTTCTACTGATCAGTCGAGATGTTAATAAAAAAACATTGGTATGTATGTAATAGTATGTATGCACTTCATTCGCGCGCTGTGGCGTTCACACTCAATTTTCTCTCACATAATTTCTTAATGTGCACCTGATTTGTGAGTTCGGCTTGTCGTTGTATACGACGAATATCACCAATACGTTCGTACTTATTCGCTAAGAGGTATGCCGATTTCAGCTGGCCAATAAAGATGTGACAAGATATGCGCAATTCCACGCTGTGAATGCGTTTGACGAGATTATCAAGTACAGTTTTTACCTCCGGGTCATTACAGTTGCAAGCCGAGTTGACGGCAATCGATAGAATTTCATCAATATCACGCGTCTGTATGCCATTGTTTGAAGTTATGCAGCTTATTAGCTTTTCAACTTCGGCAATGCGCTGGTTGCTAGCAAGAAATTTGGCAGACGCACCGAATACTTTCACCTCCGGCAGCTTGTAGTGGTGTATAATTCTATATTAACGATTTAAAAAATTGTATTAAATGGCATTTTGCAGCGTAAAGTACTTTCACTCACCTGTAGGCTAAGCCAAAACCCTCCTCGATATTCTTACCGCACAGCAAAATCAATATGCATACTTGTATGCGCTCCTGAGCGCCATCGAAGAGCGTGGGCAACTTTAATTTAACCGAGTTGTCCAGGCGTAACTGTAAGCATTTGCATGGTGCATTTATGAAATGATGCACAACTAGTTTTTTGTTTTATATTTTGCATTTACCTGTTTGAGCATTTTCAAAGTGTTGACTTCGTCGGGCGCACTCAACTCACGTTCGCAATGCGCCAAGAACTTCGCCACTTCCAATTGCATTGAGATCGTGTTGATGTGACTATTGAGCGCGCGCGCATCCATATGCATTAAAAAGCTCATATTCGTAGCCGGTGTATTCGCACCCGAACTCACACTCGAGCGCCGACTGCCGAACGAGCTTTTCCGATTGCGCAGAAATGGCTCGAAATTCACCTTATCCCACTGCGTCAGCTCCAGCTGACTTTGCAAGTGCTGTTGCGCATTGTGCAAATGCATGGCGTTCGCGTGCAGATGTTGGAAATTCTCACAATTCGCCGAGTAGAAGCGTACGCAGGTCATGCTGGCGCGCACAGGATCGTGCAGCAGCAACTGCAGCTGATAGAGCGAGTTGAGATGATTTTGTGTCTCCAAATAGTGGCAGGTCTGCAGCAGCGTCACACGCCATATGCCCAAACTAGCGTCCATCCTCTGCATGTGCTCTATTAGTGACGGCAGATTGCCATAGCGCAGCGAGACGAGAAATATATTGTGTATAAAGTAATCCGATTCGAGATTTTGTTGCAGCAAATACTTGAGCGCCGCGTTGAGTTCGCGTTGGCGCATGAGAAATTGCAGCACATCCGTGTGTGAGCCATAGGTGAGCACATAGTAGAGGCATTCTTCGAAACCGCGCGTATGTTGCACATACTGCCGTGATTTATTGTCCAAATTTGCATGAGTGCCACTGAGATTATTGTGCAGTTCGTTGTACTGACCCTTCGCGATGTGCTTCAAATTGGCGAGTGTGTTGAGTATGCCCAAGGCGGGCTCGTGCATGCGTATAGGGCATGGGTCTTTGCGTCGCGACAACATGGAGGCGAGTGAGGTATTCGAGCTGCGTATGAGTGAGGCGCGCTTCAATGTTTCCGGCTGCGGTTTTAGGCACGGTGTGCTCTCTATAGTTTTCACAATCTCTTGCAGTAGCGGCGGACCGCGTTGTGGCCGTTTAGTTGTTTGTAAGTCCACTTCATGGGTATGCGATTCGAAGGGATTGTCATTCGTGTCCGTGTCCGTAGTTGTCGTGGACATTATGTATTTGCATATTTTCTCATTCATGTACTCGCTACTCAACTTTGTCATGCAATAGGAGAACTTCTCGCGTGCTGAGAACAATTTTATTGTTAGTTTTATTTTTTTTATTTATCTTAAAGCATTTATGTGCGATTTTTTTATTGTTGCTGAGTTGGTTATTAGTAATTATCCTATAAATGCAGTGTAAGCCAATGAAGTGTGGTTAGTTTTTGTAATTTATGTAAATGCTATGAGATGATGAAATCTGTGGTTAGTTATTTAAAACAAAATTTTGATATAAAAAATTTTTTTATCTAAATTAAAAAAAATTTTGTCTCTCAAAAAAAAAATTTCTCTTAAAAAACTTTTTGTCTTAAAAAATGTCTCTTAAAAAGTTTTCTCTTAAAAATATTTTGTCTAAAAAAAAAGTTTCTCTCAAAAAAAATTTCTCTTAAAAAAATATCTCTTAAAAAATTTTTCTCTTAAAAAATTTTTTCTTAAAAATATTTTATCTTAAAAAAAAATTTCTCTCAAAAAAATTTCCTCTCAAAAAAATTTTTCTCTTAAAAAATTTTTCTCCTAAAAAAATTATTTTCATTCACTTTTATAACACACTTTTAATAAAATTTCGCACATTCACTGCTACACAGACACACCAACAAATTTTGAAAAATCAAAAATACAAATAGGACGCAAAAAGTGTCTTGAATTATAACTCAATATGCATACTTCTAATTTTTAATTAATAATAATAACATTTAAACATTTTTACAAAAATATTTATATGAAATAAATTTATGTGATGGTCGAAATTTGACAGTTTCTCATTTTCATGCAACAACATATACGAGTGTAAACCGTTATTGAGTTTTCGTAAGCCTACAGGGTCTAAATTTCTATGCTGCCACCTCAGAAACATTTACGAACCCTATTTCGAAAATGTTTAAGGTGGCAACAACAATAAAAATTCGTATTTCGGCTCCATAAAACAAAACCCGTTATACGTGCGGTGAATATTCGCATAATACTGCTAAGGCAGTGAACCGTTCAAATAATTAATATGCATATGTTTTCGCAGAAATTATACCTGCCGTCATCTGCTTGAATCGAAACCGCCTCCTAGGCACAACAAGAGAACACTCCCACAATATGTCGACGAACTTCAACAATACAACGACGCGATATCGAACGCGACCAACTTGACGTGTGCTGCACGCCATTCACAGCGGAGTTATAAACACATTAATCGACTGCCTCCCAGTGAATGGCGACCTTGGAGTCGAAACACCACCCATTGCAGACCGTAAGCTCGTGTTGCCGCATGAAACCGGAGTGATCCTAGCGCAACTTCATGCTGAATACTGTAGCAGGTTAAACTCTTACATATCCAGAATAGATCCCAACATACTAAACATATGTACTGCATGCAAAGAGTCTCCGTAAGACGCTAACTACCCCCCACTCATCTAACACCCCACTCCCTATGGTCTGACCAGTGTTTTCGGAACCCACCGCTAAGTGATTTCAATGACATTTGATTTTGCACTTCCCACGGGGTTTAGCTAATTCTATATACATATATATAATAATATATATTATAATTCTATAGCATCGATATTTTAAAAAAGCTAACCTAAAATTAATTAAACCGTTATATGATAATGATCTGTGCAACTGTTATCACGACAGTTGTATATAGGTAACGGAAGCGGATACGGATTTTTATCCGACCAAAAACTGACTCTTACTGACTTATTTGAAAAAAACTCTTAAGCCACTACAACAAAAACATGCACCATTTGCGTAATGGAAAAAGACCCGGGTTTAAAGTTATTCAAAACAAGTCAACTTAGCAATATTCCCCCAAAAAAAATGTGTCGGGAATGTTTAAAAACTCTACAACAAACACAGAGTTAGACTTAAACGGCTAGCTCCTAAGTTTTGACACTCTAGGTACATATGGATATAACTGAACAATCCGTTCCTACGACAGTCGGGTCCAACAACAACAACAACTACAACAACCTGACTGAACAATGAGGGTAAAAGAAAAATATACAAAAAAAAGTAGAAAACAAAACAAAGCCAAAACGCATTCGAAACCGACTTCTTTATATACCCTTCACCAATCTACAAGATATATAGCCGCTAATTGCTTTCCAAATACTTTAGCATGCTTAAATTGTTTATGTAAGTATATTATATCGCTAGGTATGGTATAATAATATGTATGCACAGCACTCACCCGTGTCAAAGCAGCCGGCGCGCAAACAAGACAAGCCATGCGCCGCCATCACACCGACGGTGGGAAAGCCACACTTGAGATGCACCTCAAATGCCAAATCCCATTTCTCTGCCTGCACCAGCGAGTCGCCCAGCTTGCGTAAGCTGTGATTATTGAGCGGACCTGGCGGTATTAACGACTCGCAGCCATTTTGCACCACCGACATGATGATCATTGAATGTTCGCGTATGGTTTCAATTTCTGGAGGGCCACCACGCACCTGCGAAAGTATTGGAAAACACGTATAAATAACATAACACACACGCAGTAGCGTTATACATACCTTAGCGGCCAGTGCGAGGCAGTTCATCATTTTTGCGACCAGCTCATAGTCCACCTCGGGATTTGGCACAAATAGCTTTTCCAATTTATGACAATGATACAACAGCAGATCGACACATTTTTGCTGTCCCTGATGGAAGGCGAGTATGGAGAGACATAACGCCACGCTGGGCGCATGCTCATAGCAGAATTCCTCACGCAAGAGTTTATCATGCGTAATATTGCCGCAAAGCTGCCATTTATATACATCGCTATCACGTGCACGCTTACCAACACCGCCGGCGTTATTCTGCATACCATCCTTCGCCACAGCATGCGCATCCTGTGTACGCCTGCGTTGCACCTCCTCCGTTTTACTAAAGCAATCGTTGCAAACGCGCACCTCAACATCTTCGTACAGATCGGGTATGCGCATACGATGCGCCGAACAGGCAAAGCAAACAACACGCCCACAACGCCGACAATGATGACGACGCATGAGCATTGTGAAGGCGGCACGATGGCAGCACATGCAGTGCGTGGCATCATCGTCGCGCACCCAATCCTCACGCGTCGGCGGCAACGTGGGCATTTGAAAGGCGCCGCAAAGCGAATCCAACGACTGTTGCATGTCGGTGGTCTGTGAGATGCGCTCCGAGGAGGAGGCCACATCCGAGACGTGATAATCCAGCGCCTTCGTGCCGTAAATACGCAACAACAAATCAATGCACTCATTGGTGATGACATGATGCTTCTGGTATAAATTGAAATTCAACAAAATGAACGCCGAATTGTTGGTGTGCCCGATATCGGTGCCAAGTTGGAATTTCACCTTATGCGGCGAATTCGAGCTGCGCGTATGTATATCGTAAATGTGACCGCGCTTATCAAAACAGAAGGCGCACATTTGTGTGCCGGCAACGTCGGACTGTGAGAGCGCCGTACGCACGGCGTTCAGCACTTTGGTGAGCGTTTCGAATTTGGTATTCATCACCAACTGTTCAATGATCAACAGTGGATAGGTGAAAAGTTTCCAAAATGGTGCAAGTTCACCGGGCGTTAGCTGTTCGAAAATTACCAAAGAAATTTTATAATTTCGATAGCTGTGACTTTCGTGCGAATTGTAACGCGTCAGATAGTCGACGGTGTAGCGCATTAAGTGAACTGTGCGAAACTTATCCTTGTGTGTGTCTAGGAAATTGGCAACATCGGCTGTGGGAAATGTCTCGAGTATTTTTAGTAAGTATTTGTTGACTTCGCCATCGTTTGCGCTGCTGTCACTGCTACTGCCACTGCCGCCACAACTGACATCGTCATGCAATTCCAGCAGCGCGTTGAGTAGCACATCCAAAAAGCGTTGCTGCTGCGCGGCAAAGCGTTCGACCAGCTTCACCACACGACACCAATTATAGCAGAGTTTATATAAATGCGTTTGCAAGAGTTTCTCGAAAATTGCGGTTGGTGTCTTCATGCCGAAATTATAGGCTTGTGGCCATGTCTCGAATTGCAATACCTCGGAGACTTTTGCATAAATTGTAATATCTGCCAAAGTGTCCTCAAGTTGTTGGCGCAACGCGACTGGTATGCGTTTGGCCGCTTGCCGATTTTGCAGCGTGTTCTCAATTAACTCTTTGGCCAGGCGTGTGGTGGCAATTTTCGTGAAGTTGGCTTGTATCAGCTTGGCGCGCTTGCCCACATCTTGTATGCCACCGGCCAAGCGTATGTTGCGCGCATCCTCTTCAATTAGCTGCAATAGCAATTGATCTGTGCGTCTATGCTGCAACGCCTTCGGTTGGTAACCCAAATCGAGTGTCTGCAGCTGCAATTGTGTCATTTTTGGCGCCACATCTGCAACCAGTTTGCTCGGATCGTAGTCGGAGCGCAAGGCGGCCACAAATTTGTTATCATTAAAGAGCGTTGCGACGCGCTCGATCTCCTCCAGCTCGAGTAGCGCTTGTAGAAAGCTTGTATTCAAATTATTTGCGGACAACGACACGCCGGCCGCATTAATGACACCGTGCAAGAGACATGCCAGCAGTGCATTTTGATTTGCCACATAGTTGAGTATGCTCTCCGCTTTCTGTTGCGTAATTTTGCGGCGCGCAATCTTGCCCACGTCACCGGCACATTTGCCCGCAATTTCGGGGCACACATTCAACGCTATCACGTGTACTAAATTCAAATTCAACGCTGCCACATTCGCCTCGATCTCCAGTGGCGTCATATCGCATTCGAAAATCAATTCGCCGATGACATCGCAGACGTTAATCTTCAGCAGCGCGCCGGTGTGATACTCCAAATTGCGATCACGCAGCAGCACAAGTTGCGCTAAATGTTGCACGTAGCTGATGAAACGTTGATAGTAATTACATTTCGCTTGAAGATCGTGAAAGAGTGACGCATGCGTTTTCAAATCATCAATATGTCCGATTTCGCTGTCCACTTTGTGAAAGACTGCATGAAAGGCGCGCTCACGCTGCAACTCCAGCGCCAATTTGCGCGGCTTCAACGTATAGTAGTTATCGTTGAGCAGTCGACAGAGTCGCTGCTGTGGCTGTATTTGCAGACACTCACTGAGGCTTTCCAGTAGTGCTAAGGCGCCGATATCACTATGCAATTGCTGCTTATTGGCTGCGCCGTCATCATTGCGTAGTGAACGCGTCATATTGCTACTAGCGCCAACGGTCTGCTGTCGCCTTACAACCATTAAAATATTTGAGGTTATCTCACGATTGAATGGCAAGTTGAGCACCAAGTCGGTGATGATGAACGCGTTCAAGTTGTCGGCGTCGAAGTTGCGCAAAAATAAATATTGCGGATTGTTCATGTAGCGCTGGCACAGTTGCTGCTGTTCCACTGTGGCTTCTATGCGTTGCGTAAGCGCAAACGTATCAATGACACTGATTATGCGCGACACGTCGAAACCTTTGCCCGCGACATTCCGTATCTGCTCAACAGTGGCGGCTGGCTGTTCGGCATCACCGCCGCAACCGCTTTGCTCCTTCTGCAGATAGTTTTCGTAAATAGTTGCCAATTTCTGTTTGATCTGTTGTTGTTGCTCGACAAAAACCAGCTCACGGTTGAGTGCGGTGTCTTGCAAGTGAAAAGTCTACAAAACAAAAGAAAAAATATAAAAATTAAAAAACTTTGTAGCACAGCAATTATATGAATAATATAAATATTTTATTATATTTTTTGGTAGACATTTGTCTTGTTCTTGGTGTTGTCCAAGTGGTTGGCTGTTGTTAATGGCTTCTGGGTGAAACCGGTCGAATTCAAGTATCATTTTAGTGAAGAGTTTTCTATGACGGATAACCATAATAACAAATAACGGATCATGCATAACTTTATGTGTATATACGGCGCAAGAACACAAATCTATTTTTTGTTATTATTACTTAAATATTACTTTTTTGTTTCAAATTGAGAAAATTTAACATTTAAATAAAATATAAACAACTTTTTAAATGAGCAAAATGCATTATGCGGCAATTGGAGACTTAATTGCTTTCAGAGATTTTGAATAATCGTTTTAATTGCCACTCTTACAGCTTAAACCGAACAGTTAATTTACTCAATTAGCCAATAATATTACTTGGTTATATATTTATATCCTGAACAGGGTATGTTAAGCTTGCTACGAAGTTTGTAACACCCAGTAGAAAACGTCAGAGACCCTATTAAGCTGAGTCGATTTTGCCATGACCGTCTGTCCGTTTGTATATACCCGAACTGGTCCCTCAATCTTGGAGATATCGATCTTTAATTTTGCACATGTTCATTTTTCCACAAGAAGCTGTTTATTTGTCGGAATCGACGATATCAGACCACTATAAGATATAGCTGCCATACATGCTCCCCGATCAAAATCAGGTTCTTCTATGGAAAATCTTTTAATTAGACAAGGCCAAAATTCGGCCTGGATTATCGATCAAGACAGGGCTACAATCTTCGAAAAAATTATTTAGATCGGACCACTGTAGCATATAGCTGTCATACATCAGTTTGTATGATCATATATACAGTTCTTCTATGGAAAACTTTTTTATTTGACCATATATCTTTGTAAAATTTGTTAATAATTACTGCTTCAGGTAACGGAACAATATCCGAACATATTGTTCAAATCGGATCACTATAGCATATAGCTGTCATACAAACTGAACGATCAAAATACAGCCCCTGTATGGAAAACTTCTATATTTGACGAGAAATCTTCACGAAATTTGGCATGAATTATTGTTCAAGATACCGCTATAATCTCCGAACAAATTGTTCATATCGGATCACTATAGCATATAGCTGTCATACAAACTGATCAGTCAAAATCAAGTCTTTGTATGGATAACATTTTTATTTGAAAATATGCCTTCACAATATTTGGCATAGCATATTGTCCAAGGTACTGTTACAGTCACCGAAAAAAAAAATTTCAAATCGGATCACGATATCGTATAGCTGCCAAATGCACTGACATTTTTTTCTTAATAAAAATTCGACTGGTTAACCGGTTTATAAATTATTGCAATAGTCAATTTGCCATATATAATTCAATTATAACGAGCGTAAAAGTAGCACTACAATAGAGTGAGGCTAATCGGTACATACATATACATATATACGGCAATATAAAAAGTCCATTGCAGAATATTGGACAAAAGTTAGATCAACAACATAAGCCTAACCACAAAGAGCAACAAAAGACAGTAAGAATATCACCCAAGTAAGCAACAAAGTCACAGCTAAAACTAAAACTCATAACTACCTCAATGATGAACTTAACATCGCTGAAATTCTTCAAAGACAAAGCCATTATAGCCAAATTCTCCGGTGAGCCCAACATCTGCGGTATAATACTACGTTCAGCCAAGCAATTAAATTCACGGCGCGATTTCAAATTCTCAACAGCATTGCACTCCGTTTCCTCTGCTGCGTTGACGCTATTAATCATTAAATTAACTTTGGCACAATCGGGTTCACCAGCTTGTGCTGCGGGACGCGTAATGCCGGCGGTAACACTAATAGTGGCGCGCCGTTTCTTACGCGCTGCTTTGCGACGCGACAAACTAGCGTGGTTACTGCGATCACGACTGTCATCATCACTAGAAGACTTCTCTATTACATCGATATGTGCGTGTATCAATTGTAGCAACTCTTCCGCCTCAAGGCTGAACTTTTGCTTGCTACTTGATAGAGTAAGAGAATTATCAAATTTCTGCAAAACTGCATATTTCCACAGTGCCTCCGTTATTACATCAACAATGCGTTGGAAGCGTAGCTGCACACGTCCCGAAGCCAATTTATAGTCTTCCGAATGTATTTTTTTGGTAATGAAATTTTTGAGAAATGCAAATATTGCATGAAGCGCTGGGCCACGACAAATGAAACCTTGACGTCCGCTTTCAGCAGAAAGTGCCGTTGAACGCATAGACGCTGTGGGTGTTTCCACAGCTGCTTCGGCTGTGCTACTAACGCCACTTGAATGCGCCGCCGTGTGGCCAAGATTTGCGTGAAATGCTGTTGAATAAATGTTTGAAGCGTGCCGCAAATGCTCACAGCGTAGGAATATTAATTGGAAAATATCCTCAATTAGAGCACACAGCATGTCGACATTGAGAATTTTACGTAGCATGCCGTTTAGTTGCTGCACCTTGCATTCGTAGTATGCATCCAAATTATTTGGGTTTGTGTTGGGTAACATAATGTCACACACAGTTGAAAGCGCTGTGTAGTAATTTAAAGTTTCCATTTCGAGTTCGTAAATGCTTTTCATATTTGTTAACTGCATTTGCCATTTTCGTGTGGCTTCCAAAAAGCGGCGCGTCTCTTCAAAGCTGCAAGTTGTTGAAATGTTACTACATAGTTTCACACTTATTATAACAAAAATAGTTAACTTACTTGGTATCAATGTCATAGTCGTACAGTAACTTCAAAACGCTTCTGCCATTTAGTATTGCATCTAATGTTATTGTTTTATATAAATCCGTATAACGCTTTAGAAAATCTAAAATTATAGCTATGCGTTGAAAATCAGCATAAAAGAATTTATGTATTTCTTTTAAATGTAACGGAGTTCCATCAACGGTATACTCTGACAGCCATTTGTTTATGTTGCCGAGTTCGGACAATGTCTGTTTAGTATTTGACAATTCATCGGCAATCTTGAGTATCAATAAATTATTACGTAAACCTCTATTTTTTACATTACTAGCATTTTTTAATTGCTTTGCAATCAACGGTGCAAAATGCAATTTATTTCGCAATGCTTGATGTAATATAAATTCTTTATTTGGCACACCATTTGAGCAATTCTGGTAATGTTGTTGTGATTGTTCGAGCACCTCCACTAATAAATTGGAATCATGACGTGCCAGCAAAGCAAGGCATACGTCGTCAGAGCTCCTGACTTCCGCAATTAAAGTTTTTATTAATTTGAAACGTAACGTCGGACCATCGAGTATGTTTAGCGGAAAATTTGCAATGAAATTAATGAACTGTCCACCGTTTTCATTCAAATTTTCTTTCAATAATATTTGTAGTACTTCAGTGAATACACGACTGATTTGAAGTTTGCATCTTTCTCGACTCGCATATAATATTTGCACAGCGGGGTATATGTAGCTCAGCAGCAATTGTGTTATATTTTCGAAATTAGCTGGTACTATATTACTATTGTTGGGTTGTAAACTTTGCAGCCAACTCTAAAAAGAGGAAAAGTTCAAAGTACATAATGCAGTAATAATTAATAAAACAATATATGATTTTGAACCTTTAGAAAGTTGCATTCGGTATGTGGTAGCACTTCGAAGTACTCCTGAATCTGCGCTTCTATGTCATCCATTGTTTTCGCTGCTCCAGGGAATCAGTGTTACACTAATTACTATATTGCTGTATCTTTTAGCAACGGCAAATCTGACTATATGTACAATATAAAATGCATTTAATTTATGTAATTGCATGTCACTTTAAATCACAACGATATAACAATTGCTATAACTCTACACTCAAGTCTTCCACTCGCTTTTAATTGCTCTATTGTTATTTCATTACATGACTTTTTTAATAACAGTGGATGCAATGCAGAAGAAATTTTCGAAAATTAATGCACTTTTCACAAGTGTATGTAATTTTTCTTTGTTAAATTTTCACATCTGTTATCAGCTGATATTGTTTTGATGTGCACAGAAAAGAATAAATATAGTGCTGCCAGGTAGCATATTTATTGCTTAGTCAAAAGATGAATTCTTAAGATAAATTTTATGGATGTGCTGCTATACAAACAAGTTTTATACAGATTTAGATACAACTGATTGAAATATTTAATGGCAAATATGTATGAATTACAATTTCTTTGGTGCCGCGATTTGATGATATGAATGGAGAGTGGAGCAGAGAACGTATTCCATATATGTATGATATACGTTCTCTCCTTTCAACAACCAAGAGCGCCATCTTATTGTGACTACTTCTAGAACAGAAACGGGTAAAGTACACGTCAGTTTTTGTAAATATCACATTGTCACCGAATTGCATTCTTGATTTTTCCATAGTGTTAAAGTTTTTGTATTTATTTATTTACTGAAATTATACAAAATTTATTGTAATTATTAGAAAAGCACTCAACGATTGTGACGCCATTGCAGAATGGTGTATATAGATCGAGGTAAATTGTTTAAGACATTTGTGTACAATATGTAGTAAAAACGAATTAAAACAACAGATGGCCGTGTCTTGGAGCGGAGACCATGGAGTGTGGCGCGCGTATTGGAGATATTCACAAGCATTTGGTTTGTGACTGTCACCTTGTAAGTTAATTTCTAGAACGCACAATATGGTGTAATGCACCACCTACTCACACAAACATATGTTCACATTTCAGCTTTAAAACGCTGATGGCTCCCTTCATGAATAATGACAATCCCAGCAGCAATACGCGACCGAGTAGATGGGGAACCGGTGGTGGAGGTGGTCCAGGTGGAGGTGGTGGTGGTGGACGTGGTGGTGGTGGTGGCGGTTTCAATCAAGGCCTTCGTCCAAACCGTCGGATTGGACGTGTTGTGAATACGTCAATGGATTGTAATATACCTGGTGGCGGATGAGCACGGTAACGTGTCCAAGCAATTTATAACGTTGCATAAAGTTTTTCAGATGAAGAATTACTTTATGCACGCTTGGACACAACAGACTTAATCATCACCCATAAAGCACTGTTAAAACTACTCGAAACCTTTTACATCGCCTGCAGTGCGTTATGCTTTGTCGATTTTTTGGCATTTATTGCTTTTATGACGCACAACTTTGCAACCCTAAGTTGGGAGAAGTTGTTCCGACACGTACAAATCGGCAAGGTATAAATATTTAGGCTTGCTCTAATAGTAAAATATACATTTAAATGTAAATATAATAGATATGCTTTAAAACATAGTCAAGATCAGTGCAATAGTCATGCTTTCGAATACATACATACATATGTAACTGAAGATAATTTTTGTGAATATAGTAAATTTGCCACGCTTTAATGGATTTTACATTTTTATTTTTTACATCAAATGTTCAGGGACCCCAAATCTGTTCCATAATTACAACAGATGATGAAGTTGTTGTGAGTATGAAGTACAGGAACTTAAGAATTTCCTCCGCAGCTTCAATCAACAAAATGGACTGCTATGTAGGGTTTTTGGCACGATAGAAAGACCAAAATGCTTTGAATTAATTTTTCATCATTCTATTTTTCGGATTCAGAACAGTGTATCGCCTTAGTGGAACTACACGCAACGGTCCCGGATTGTTATCCTATTTGGGGAATATTTGTTGCCGGTACAACGACTCTATATTCGAATTTTGTCAAAAAATTTTTTTTTTTCAATAGACATTAAATTTCTTCAGACTTAGGGTGATCACTTTTATTTATGCGCATGCCTGCATGTTGTCTTTTCAGTGCACAAAGAATTTATATAAAAAAACTACTAATTCAATTAAACAAATTACAAACAATAAATAATAAACTTATTTGAGCTTAGAAATCTATTTAGAAATCTATTCGAGCCTTTTTCGTGCATACTTCATCGGTCCAAAATCCATTTATATCTTCATAGATTTGTGTACGTCTAACGGTGGGTTGTGAGTGAATACGCCGACACAACTCACAATATGGTAGCATTTGAACGCCGCTTTCGTAAGCCTCGACCAAGTAATAGCGACGCCACCAAAAGTACTTGGCATACTCATAAGGATGTTCACTCAAATAATTAAGGTATGCAGCCAGAGTTGAGGCGTTTTTAAAGTCCTGTGCGTCAATGTAGGAGTGTGGTGGCGCGAAACGCGTATAATTTGCACCACCAAACACCACGGGCACAATGTGTCGCTGCAGGGCGTTGAAAAGCTTTTCCGTTACATAATCCTTGCAAAGTGAATTCTCAAAACTCAAATAGAATTTGTAATCTTTGTCGAGCAACGCATCGCAACTGCTGTTGAAGCGTTCGCATCTGTAAGAGAAATTAAAGATGGTGTGATTCCGTCGTTTATAATATAATATGATATTTATTTACGTAAGAAAAATTAATAAAAAAAAAACAAAGAAAAACTTCTTTTGCAGCCAAGCTATAATGTCCTTTACAAATACAAAATATTCCTTGCCGGTTTAAATATTTTTTCAGAGATTGCACCATGGCCTTGGACAATAATACATGGCAAATTTCGTGAATATATCTCGATATCTCAAAAACTAAGGGACTAGTTACCGTATAATTAGACAGCGGGCGTGGCACCGCCTACCTTTAGTTGAAATCTCATATCTGAATAACGACTCGACCAATTTCAATCAAATTTAGTGTTTATATTACCTCGATATGTTGTGAAAATGGGTGAATTCGGACTACAGCCACGCCCGAATCTCATATATAGCTCAATTTTTAATTCTATATGATTATTTCCCTTTACGGCATACAAATCAAGCATCAATAAAGTTTTTGTATTGTAATAAAACTTAGCACAAATAGTAGCTTTGAGACATGTTACCTCATGTCTAAAAATTAGTCGAAATCGGATCATAACTTTTCAAGTCCCTAGTTACCGAATATGTGAACCCCAGTACCTGTAGCTGACTTTTTACCGAAAGCATCAGCCAATCTGTGAGATATATTATTGAAATTCATGGGCAATATTTTTATAATAATAACAGACCTCTTTGTCAAAAAAGGGCTAAAATCGTGTTACTACTTCACTTCACTTTACTTAGCCTCCATATACCTGATATTTGAATTTCAAACTTCCGGTTGGTTTTATACCGTATATATCAGTAAATATGTAAGATACCTTAATAAATTTTGGAGAAAATATTTGTTTGTTAATAATGTATAATTGTACTTAAAATATATATAAAATTGAGGCAATACTAACCCTAACCCCCATATACTTAATATAGGCATTTTCAATCATCCGATTCAATGTATACCTTATATTATATATTGGTCAACGTTTAAGTATCTTAATCAAACTCGGAGTTCCAGAACCAAATTTGGATAAAATCGGGACGATACAACCCTTAGACCCGCTAGACCTAATATAAGAACTTAAATCTTTCGGTTGACTTTATTACGTAACTGATATTGGTCAATAACTAAGAGTAAACATATAACATTGGATAGAATATAGTTCATTGGCAAAAATATGTAAAATCGGTCCTCGCATTACCCCAGCTTTGATTCTTTATATCGATTGTTTCGGGCAGTGTGTGCGTTATCTTCATAAAATGGCGTGGAAATATGTTCACGAATATACTTCAGTAATGCAAAAAGTTGACGTTGAATCAGTCCCGACCTTTTCCTATGTTTATATTACGATATAGTGATTTCCGACTTTCTTTTTATGGTTGGAAGTACATTGACTCATGAATGAAATGATATGCCTACAAGTACGTATACTATGAAAGTGTGTCAGTTCTTTTTATTTATAATCTTATCTCTGCCATTTTTGAATTTGAGTTATTCTCCTATATACCAATTACAGTTATATCTGATTCTCTGGTGGAGCATTAGGATAATCTTAATAAAATTAGGTGATAATATTACGATACAAATTGTGTAAATGGATGAAAACGTTTCTGCGTTACCTTCGTGTACCGAATATAATCATTTTCGGCATACCAACTAATTTTACTCCAAATAAATTCGACAAAATTTCTAAATCTAACTTTCTGTTCGAATAAAATTAAGTGTATTTGCCATAAATGTATAACATTTTATACCATCTGGAGTTTTAAAATAAAAATAGGATCCTTTATAAACTAACTGTATTGTAAATTATTGAAATTCAAAAATTATTTTTATTTGTTTCCATTATCTTTGAGTACCTATGGGTGTACGACATTGTCGTTCACACTAACACTGTTTGACACAGAGAAGCTACAACAAAGAATTTACCTCAAGGTCCCACATTTGCCATACACATCGACTTGCATGTGCGCCTGCAGCGCCTTCACTAAGCCGTCCCGTCTCGACGGCGCCTTACAATTGGACACAAACCAAGCGGCCATTTTACGCTTTCCTTCAATTGACAATAACAAATCCGTATCGTTTTGCGTCCAACCCACTTCCACCGCTGTCCATATTGGATCTTGCGCGGGCGCAATAATTTGACGCGTTGAAATCGTTTTGACCACATTATAACTCCACACAATGTCGGAATCGAGGCGATAACTCAATGTGAGATTATAGAAATTCTTTTCGGCCTGTAAATTATGCCAGGTGTGTTCAGGCGATTCTAATTGTGCGAACACATATGATTGATTGGGCGAACGTTGTTGTGGTGTGCCGTTTGAAAAATTACACGCCGTATGAAAAACGATTGCTGCATAATCGACGATGGAAGGCAAAAAGTCGTGCTGATTGGTGAAAATGCAATTTGTTTGTGGGCACTTCGCATGCAGGGTGTCCGCGGGTAAGGTCCAGCGCTTGTCCTCAAAGAAGTCAGTCCAGAAGAGTACAACACTGTCTTGCGACGATGGCAACTTCGACGTGCGGAAGATTGCATTTCGTGCATTGTTTCGCGTAAAGATCACCAAAATGATAAGCGTAAGTAGAATTATGATGCGCGTATTACTGTACATTTCCTTAAATGTGTTTAGTCTGTTAGAGGACATCACGCCCACTATATAGATATGTATGTATGTAGAACATAAGTAACTGTAGTTGTTTTTTTTAATTTTTTTTGTGACCGCTGAGTCAAATAATTTTTTTTTGACGAAATGTATATTGGAAAAAAATATAAATATGTATATATAGATATATATGATGAGATTTACGAAAAAAAAATCTTTGATATTTATTTTTGCGATTTCATAATTTGTACACTCGTGATTTGAAATATTCATTTTTTCTTTATGCTTATTTGTAATAATTAACTTGCATTAACATCTATCTAATATGACGATTATAATATTTTAAATAAAAGTTTATGTATTTTTTAATATTTGTTTAATTCAAGAATGAAGACTAAATACCACCGATTGAAACGCTTATCATAGATTTTCCACTATTGGTAAAGTTATCAGGTAGTAAACCCTAATTGGTTATTGTATGTATTTATGTATTTATATATATATATGTATTTATATATGTACATATGTATTTATAAATATGTGTTATATCTTGAAGTGCGTGTCTACATTGGCGTTGATAGACAATTTTCACACTTTGACGTTTGAGTATTAGTATTATTATCAACTGCCGGTACAGATAAGGACTGCTCACAACTGTAAGGCCTAATCAAATTTATTTGATTTAATGTTGTACATAAATAAAGAACACTACAGTTGCGCAGAAAGATGGTGCATAAAAAGTAAAATAGTGTTATCTATTCCAGCCAAAAATATTCTAGTTTTATATATAGGGTGCTTATTTAGAAAAAATAATGGAACAAATTGCCAAACTTTAATAGTAATTGTAAACAAAGCCTTCACCAGCTTTTGTTTAGGAGGTCAAAATCTAACGTATTTTGCTGTCAAGAGCTCTTCAAAAAGGGTAACGGAACCAAACTGCTGTAACTTCTATTTCCATCGCTCTTGAAGGTATAAAAGAGATATAACAGTTAAACCACCTGTCAACGAATTTATTTTTGTTTGATATTTATGTTGAGTAAATTTTAGCAAATTATCAAACTACATCTGAACTATATCGGAATAAAGTTTAAAAATCTTAGAACATCGATATCAGTCGTCTATATGCTAAAGTTTTCAAGCAAGCTGTTGCAGTCGACCCATCAGACATATCTTAATTGAGACTAACTTCTAACGACAGTCCCCCAACTGTGGTTTTAAACCTACTATAAGTAAAGAGTTGACAGCCAACAGTTGACGTGATAAGTCCGGTTATGTTGGAAAAAATGGGAAGTCATTACCACCTCTCTCAATGACGATAGCTTCGAAAAAGTTAAAAAAAAACAGTGCTTGAAAATCGTCTTGTTGGCATCAGAGAGATAGGAGAGGTTAATGTTTTGGTTATGAAACGTGTCAATGCTAGACTCGTACGAGAGAACTTAGAATAACTTATTGTTGTTATAGAATAACTTATTCAAAGTTCTCTGTTCGTACCAAAATACTAAATCTTTTGATAAACCAATGCTTGACAATGCAGCTGAGGACCTTACATTCATTAAACGCATCATTACCGGTGACGAAACGTGAGTTTATGAATATGTTGTCGAACTAAGTCAAAGTTAAACATCAAGGTGTCGCTCATCGTTTTCTTTGATTACCGTGGTGTGGTTCACCGAGAATTCGTTTCCGACGTCGAAACTGTTTAGCAATCTAGCGAAAGGCCCTACATAAATGAGTTATGAGCCTCCTAGACGAGGCTTATAATAAGTGTATGGAAAATTAGATTCATCGTTAGCGTATTTGTATTGGCTCAGGAGCCTATTTTAAAGGCGATCATAAAGATTTGAATTAAAATATGTGAAAATGTTGTTTCTTTTTTGTCAGTCTGGACCACTTATGATCAGTTGAAATAAAAACGCTATAATACTAAAAACGTACCCTTTACATAAATTCAATTTGTCCGTTTGTGCAAGCGATTATTACCAAAAAACTTAGATATCTGTACATATGTATGTATTTATATTAGATATGCATTTCGTTATGAAATAAATTAATTGTAGAAAGCAAAGCAAAGCAAAGCATGCTTTCAATCGAGTACACATAACGTGCCGGTTGCAAAAGTAAGTGGGTTAATACAATAATTACTGAAAAACAGACGCTGCTCCTTTTACATACCACACTCGTATTTTTAAGGTACGTTTCTCATAAACCACTTGAACTATCGCAGCAGTAAATCGGTCTACCTTTCATTGCTTCTAAAGATCACCTATAAAAATAAATCAGCAGTTCACTGTTAGAGGTATTTTTCAAAAATAAGAGACTAAACTATCATCACATTTTATAATTTCCACACTTTTTAAGTAATTACTTACTAAATTTCAAGTTCCCCTCGGATGTCTATTTATACTTTACTGAAATATGAAAATGTGAGAAGCCCTTGAACTAGTTTTTATACCCTGAATAATACACCCTAAGTTTGCCACGAAGTTTAAAATACCCAGAAAGAAACGTCGGAGACCCAATAAATTACGATCAGCATAATGAGCTGAGTTTATTTAGCCATGTCCGTCTGCCCGTCCGTTTGTATATATACAAACTAGTCCCTCAGTTTTTAAGTTATCGATCAGAAATTTGACACCTGTCCTTTCCTCATTAAGAAGCTGCTCATTTGTCGGAACGGCCGATATCGGACCACTGTAACATATAGCTGTCATACAAACTGTGCAATCGGATTAAAGTACTTGTATGGGAAGCTTTTTCATTTGACGGGTTATCTTCACGAAATGATCACAATAATTCAATTTCCGAAGAAACTGTTCAGATCAGATCACTATATCATTACCCTGCCTTACAAATTGAACGATCGGAATCAAGTTCTGCGAAGGGTATTTTAGCTTAGATAGAAGTTAACGTTTTGTTTAATTTCTGTTTTGAGCGATTTCAAAACACATGTGTAGTCTTTAACCCTTTCACGACAGTGCGTATAATAATTCTCCACACATTTCTCTCGAACTCTCGAAGATCGAAAATCCTTCTCATCGTCGGTGAGGAGGATTATGATGGACTTAAAGTTTGCTTCTAATTTTTCGAAAAATGGGGAGTGTTTTAAATATATCTGTCAAATATTTTCGAAATTCAGCATAGAAAAATAAAGCTGGTATTTTTGTCTGTCCTCAAAGCAGGTAACTAATAAAGGACCAACGTTTCACTTTACGACTATAAAGATTAACCTGGGGTTGACCTTGTATAAGGTGTATTAATTGTAAGTGGCCACATAAATATTACTATCGCTATCTATGTACACGGTCTATCTTACTTGTCGGCGAAACACCATCCCATGTGACGACGAGTACACGACGATTAGATGCAATTACGAATTTGTCACTTTATCCCTTGACCGGCACAATGAAGGGGTTGTATTCGGGTCCTCAACTTTGCTATACCTTTTAGGTATATTTATTGTAGTATACTATATTGATTTTATAAGTAGTTGGGCAAAATAAATCTTGTGTTTTTTTATGTTACACAGCCAGTTTTGTCGCTTATCGGGTTAACCTTTTAAACACAGTTAATTTATGAGCACAAAAATATAAATTTTTTGAGGTTATTGACTTCAGCTGGTTTTACAAGTATATAAACAATTTCTTTTAGATAAACTAAAACCACATGTGTAAATAGTTTGTGCAATTAAATTGAAAGAATAAAGGAAGTTGTCGCTAAGTTGAGTATTAGATGGAAATGAAATCGGCTTTAAGTAATGAGACAGTTATAGCTTGTAGTATCTTAAGATTGGTCTTTCTTCGACCTTGTTTACGATAGATATTTGTGTTCTAAACTAACTTGATGTTCTGTAAAATAAACGCGCGCCGTTAAAAACTGCGTCAGATGGAAATCATCCATGTTCTTCTCTACCACGCTTTCAATTAACCTGTATAGTAGTCCGGTAAATTTAGGCCTAAAATAAGGAGGAAGGTTACCTAAATTCATAAGAAACTGAAACTCGGCAAAATTGCTCAAAGCATAATTATAAAAGAAATCTCAAAAGTCCTCATCGTTCTGGTGTGTGCCAAAAAATTTAAGCGGGGTCAAAGGTCAAACAAATTAGTTTTACGCGATTTGCAGAAAAGCTGTGAGTTTTTTTATCGCAAAATTAATTATTAACAAAATTGTAGATCACGAAATTCTCTACAAAATTTTTTAATAGTTTTTTTTACTAAGAGCCACCATTTTGCAGATATAAAGCTTTAAAAAGTTGCATCATTTATAACCATTTTTTGCACGATAAACATCACTGAAACTGTTAAATAATCAAAATTAGTTTACTATTGGTGATTGTAACTAGCCTATGTAAAATATAAGCTAAACTATTAGAATCTCTGGTATAATGAAACCCAGTTCCTAAATTTATACGCCAGTGTAATCTTGGTGGCACGCTGGTTTTGTTAAAAATACGCGTAATAAAAAAACAAGTTCAAATAGCTTGTCTTCCTCCAACCTCAGTAGCTGCTCATCAACATCTGTTTCGGGAATATTACCAAGTTCAAGTGTGGCTTGGTAATCAGTTGGACCCTAAAGACGAAGAGTTGAAAGTTGGTGGAGAACACACGAGAGCCAGTTCAAACTTTGTTTCTATTAGCAGCAAATAAACTTCTTAACACGATATTTTGCAACTGCAAAAACGGATGCCAAATGGGATTGCAAAAAAGTTGAACTGTTTTGCTCCCTGGCATGCACACATTGCCAAGGACGGTCGTGCTCTAATGTTGAGTCACCAACTGTTGAGGGCTCCTATGATACCGATAATAGATATGCTTTACAACATAGCCAAGATCAGTGCAATAGTTATGCTTTCGAATACATACATACATATGTAACTGAAGATAATTTGTGTGAATATAGTAAATTTGCCACGCTTCAATGGATTTTACATTTTTATTTTTTACATCAAATGTTCAGGGTCCCCAAATCTGTTGCATAATTACAACAGCTGATGAAGTTGTTGTGAGTATGAAGTACAGGAACTTAAGAATTTCCTCGGCAGCTTCAATCAACAAAATGGACTGTTATGTAGGGTTTTTGGCACGATAGAAAGACCAAAATGCTTTGAATTAATTTTTCATCATCTCTATTTTTCGGATTCAGAACAGTGTATCACCTTAGTGGCAACTACACGCAACGATCCCGGATTTTTATCCTGCCAAGAACTGTCAGTTCAGCAGCATCTCTAAATTATTTGGGGAATATTTGATGCCGGTACAACGACTCTATGTTCGAATTTTGCCAAAAACATTTTTTTTTTTTTCAATAGACATTAAATGTCTCCAGACTTATGGTGATCACTTTTATTTATGCGCATGCCTGCATGTTGTCTTTTCAGTGCACAAAGAATTTACATATATAAAAAAAACTACTAATTCAATTAAATAAATTACAAACAATAAATAATAAACTTATTTGAGCTTAGAAATCTATTCGAGCNTTTTTCGTGCATACTTCATCGGTCCAAAACCCATTTATATCTTCATAGATTTGTGTACGTCTAACGGTGGGTTGTGAGTGAATACGCCGACATAACTCACAATATGGCAGCATTTGAACGCCGCTTTCGTAAGCCTCGACCAAGTAATAGCGACGCCACCAAAAGTACTTGGCATACTCATAAGGATGCTCACTCAAATAATTAAGGTATGCAGCCAGAGTTGAGGCGTTTTTAAAGTCCTGTGCGTCAATGTAGGAGTGTGGTGGCGCGAAACGCGTATAATTTGCACCACCAAACACCACGGGCACAATGTGTCGCTGCAGGGCGTTGAAAAGCTTTTCCGTTACATAATCCTTGCAAAGTGAATTCTCAAAACTCAAATAGAATTTGTAATCTTTGTCGAGCAACGCATCGCAACTGCTGTTGAAGCGTTCGCATCTGTAAGAGAAATAAAAGATGGTGTGATTTCGTCGTTTATAATATAATATAATATTTATTTACGTAAGTAAAAATTAATAAAAAAAAAAAAACAAAGAAAAACTTCTTTTGCAGCCAAGCTATAATGTCCTTCACAAATACAAAATATTCCTTGCCGGTTTCAAATATTTTCTTCAGACATTGCACAGTGGCCTTGGACAATAATACATGCCAAATTTCGTGAAGATATCTCGATATCTCACAAACTAAGGGACTAGTTAACGTATATAAAGACATACAGACGGACCGTTTCCATAACAGTCGGGTCTACGTAACCGGAACGGACCCGGATTTTTTTCCGACCAAGGACTGTCAACTCGACAAAATTCTGCCGCTACAACAACAACAATATACAGACGGACGTGGCTAAATCGACTAAGCTCAGTAAGCTGATTATGTATATCTATGTACCAGGTGTACCGGTATGAAATGATTGTGTTTTTGTGAAAATGAAATATTGAATTAAAAATTGATTTTTGCACATTTTGACCACCATTCTGACAAGTTGTGAATACCATGCCAATAGAAGTGTTCCTCTTTTGAAGCAAACCAATCAGACACCCAATTTTCGATTTCTGTGTAGGAATCACAGTGCTGCTCAGGCAATGCGTTTCCCATCGAAGAAAATAAATGGTAATCGGAAGAGGCCAAGTTTGATAAATACGGCGGGTGAGGTAGCAGCTCCCAGCCAAGTACTTTGATTGTATCCTGACAAAATTACTTTGCCATGTCTTCTGGTCCATTCTGGTCGTTTTTCGATCAACGCATGGGTCAAATTGATCATTTGTTGTCTGTAGCTATTAGTGTTAACAGTTTCACCAGGTTTTAGAAGCTCATGATATACCAAACCTTTACGGCATACAAATCAAGCATAAATAAAGTTATTGTAATAAAACTTAGCACAAATAGTAGCTTTGAGACATGTTACCTCATATCTAAAAAATAGTCGAAATCGGAGAATAACTTTTCAAGTCCCTAGTTACCGAATATGTGAACCCCAGTACCTGTGGCTGACTTTTTACCGAAAGCATCAGCCAATCTGTGAGATATATTATTGAAATTCATGGGTAATATTTTTATAATAATAACAGGCCTCTTTGTCAAAAAAGGGGTAAAATCGGGTTAATATTTCACTTCACTTCACTAACCTCCATATACCCGATATATGAATTTCAAACTTCCTGTTGCTTTTATACCGTATATATCAGTAAATATGTAAGATACCTTAATAAATTTTAGAAAAAAAAAAATTTTTGTTTGTTAATAAACTTAAAAAATATAAAACTGAGGCAATACTTCCCCTAACCCCCATATACTTGATATAGGCAATTTCAATCAACCGATTGAATTTCTAAATCTAACTTTCTGTTCGAATAAAATTAAGTGTATTTGCCACAACTGTATAACATTTGATACAATCTGGAGTTTTAAAATAAAATTAGAATCCTTCATAAACTAACTGCATTAAAAAAAGTTGATTCTTCATTAAAACTTTGCTGCTATTATGTTGTAAACATATTTCAACTATTTTTTTGTTATTTATTTTATTTATATTTGTTTCCATTATCTTTGAGTACCTATGGGTGTACGACATTGTCGAATACACTAACACTGTTTGACACACAGAAGTTACAACAAAGAATTTACCTCAAGGTCCCACATTTGCCATACACATCGACTTGCATGTGCGCCTGCAGCGCCTTCACTAAGCCGTCCCGTCTCGAGGGCACCTTACAGTTGGATACGAACCAAGCGGCCATTTTACGCTTTCGTTCAATTGACAATAACAAATCCGCATCGTTTTGAGTCCAACCCACTTCCACCGCTGCCCATATTGGATCTTGCGCGGGCGCAATAATTTGACGCGTTGAAATCGTTTTGACCACATTATAACTCCACACAATGTCCGAATCGAGGCGATAACTCAACGTGAGATTATAGAAATTTTTTTCATCCTGTAAATTATGCCTGGTGTGTTCAGGCGATTCTAATTGTGCGAACACATACGATTGATTGGGCGAACGTTGTTGTGGTGTGCCGTTAAAAAACGGAAATTTACGCGCCGTATGAAAAACGATTGCTGCATAATCGACGATGGAAGGTAAAAAGTCGTGCTGATTGGTGAAAATGCAACTTGTTTGTGGGCACTTCGCATGCAGGGTGTCCGCGGGTAAGGTCCAGCGCTTGTCCTCAAAGAAGTCAGTCCAGAAGAGTACAACACTGTCTTGCGACGATGGCAACTTCGACGTGCGGAAGATTGCATTTCGTGCATTGTTTCGTGTAAAGATCACCAAAATGATAAGCGTAAGTAAAATTATGATGCAAAAGATGGTTCTCAAAGCCAACTTCAGGAAGCGCGTATTACAGTACATTTGCTTAAATGTATTGAGTCTGTTGAAAGACATCACGCCCAGTATATAGATATGTATGTATATAGCACATAAGTAACTGTAATTTCTTTTTTTCGTTTTCACTGCTTAGTCAAATGCAAGTGTGTAACGCGATTCTTATTTTATTTTTTATTTTTGGCGAAATGTAATTTAGTAACAATTATATAGTAGTGAGATTTACGAAAAAAATTATATATTTTATTTTAAATTTCGTTTCTTCTTTTAGTTTATCCACACATTTTTCTGTTATTTGCTGCATATGTTATTTCTAATATGCCGTTTGTAATATTTTATATAAAAGTTTAAGCATTTTTTAATATTTTTTTTAATTCACGTATGTCTAAACTCAATTTGTCGGCGCAAGAATGAAGACTAAATACCATTGGCCAGTTTGAGTGTTAGTATTATTATCAACTGCCGGTACAGATAAGCACTGCTCATAACTGTAAGGCCTACAAGTCAAATGTATAAAAAGTGAAATAGTATTATCTATTCCAGCCAAAAATATTTGAGATAATTCTAGTTTTATATATAGGGTGCTTATTTAGAGAAAATAATGGAACAAATTGCCAAACTTTCATCGTAATTGTAAACAAAGCCTTCGCCAGCTTTTGTTTAGGAGGTCAAAATCTAACGTATTTTGCTGTCAAGAGCTCTTCAAAAAGGGTAACGGAACCAAACTGCAGTAACTTCTATTTCCATCGCTCTTGAAGGTATAAAAGAGATATAACAGTTAAACCACCTGTCAACGAATTTATTTTTGTTTGATATTTATGTTGAGTAAATTTTAGCAAATTATCAAACTACATCTGAACTAAATCGGAATAAAGTTTAAAAATCTTAGAACATCGATATCAGTCGTCTATATGCTAAAGTTTTCAAGCAAGATGTTGCAGTCGAGCCATACAGATATCTCTTAATTGAGACTAACTTCTAACGACTTGGGGGACTGTGGTTTTAAACCTACTATAACTAAAGAGTTGACAGCCAACAGTTGACGTGATAAGTCCGGTTATGTTGAAAAAAAAGGTCGGGAAGTCATTACCACCTCTCTTAATGACGATAGCTTCGAACAAGTTAAAAAAAAACAGTGCTTGAAAATGATCTTGTTGGCATCAGAGAGATAGGAGAGGTTAATGTTTTGGTTATGAAACGTGTCAATGCTAGACTCGTACCAGAGAACTTAGAATAACTTATTGTTGTTATAGAATAACTTATTCAAAGTTCTCTGTTCGTACCAAAATACTAAATCTTTTGATAACCAATGCTTGACAATGCAGCTGAGGACCTTACATTCAAGGTGTCGCTCATCGTTTTCTTTGATTACCGTGGTGTGGTTCACCGAGAATTCGTTTCCGACGTCGAAACTTTAACAATCTAGCGAAAGGCCCTACAAAAATGAGTTATTAGCCTCCTACAACTCCTTGTAGACGAGGCTTATAATAAGTGTATGGAAAATTAGATTCATCGTTAGTGTACTTGTATTGGCTCAGGAGCCTATTTTAAAGGCAACATAAAGATTTGAATTAAAATATGTGAAAATGTTGTTTCTTTTTTGTCAGTCCGGACCACTTATGATCAGTTGAAATAAAAACGCTATAATACTAAAAACGTCCCCTTTACATAAATTCCATTTGTCCGTTCGTGCCAGCGATTATTACCAAAAAACTTAGATATCTGTACATATGTATGTATTTATATTAGATATGCATTTCGTTATGAAATAAATTAATTGTAGAAAGCAAAGCATGCTTTCAATCGAGTACACATAACGTGCTGGTTGCAAAAGTGAGTGGGTTAATACAATAATTATTGAAAAACAGACGCAGCTCCTTTTACATACCACACTCCACCAAGGTACGTTTCTCATAACCCACTTGAACTATCGCAGCAGTAAATCGGTCTACCTTTCAATGCTTCTACTTCGAAGTTCGGTAATGGAATTTAGTTCTGTAACGGACATATATACACTTCAGGGATTTTTTAAAGATCACCTATAAAAATAAATCAGCAGTTCACTGTTAGTGGTATTTGTCAAAAATAAGAGACTAAATTATCATCACATTTTATAATTTCCACACTTTTTAGGTAGTTACATACTAAATTTCAAGTTCCCCTCGGATGTCTATTTATACTTTACTGAAATATTGAAACTGAGAATGACCTTGGAATAGTTTGTTAATTTCCGTTTTGAGCGATTTCAAAACACTTGTGTGCTCTTTAACCCTTTCGAGCTCATACAATAGTTGCTTATTCGTATAAATTTGATTAAAAGTTGTTGAAGACATAAGCCTATTCACATTTACCGCTAGCAGTCATAATTTTCGAAATTTCAACATTTTCGAACAGAGCTAAGTTTTGTCACCCTCATCCTTTTTAAACAGAGGTATTCCAAGTTCGCGTTCTTATCAATTTAAGGTGTATATATATCAAATATAAACACTTGAAGTGACAATGACTCAACTTTCTAAACAGAAGCGACAGTGAGTATAATAATTCTTCTATACATCGATAAGAAATCGCTTGGGTTTAAGATACAGTGCAAATTTCGAGCACCACATTTCTCTCCAACTCTTGAAGATCGAAAATTGTTGGCACCGTCGGTGAGGAGGATTATGATGGACTTAAAGTTTGCTTCTAATTTTTCGAGATATGATTCTACTTCCAAATTGCCCACTTGGTAGGATGGGTATTACCATAAATAAAAATCATTCCTGGTACAAATTTTTACTATTTCGGGTAACTAGGAAATAATCGTCGATATGTCGGAGGTAATGAATATTAGACTTTTCTGCTCGCTAAAACATTCAAAATACACTTATAGACAAATTTTCATCAAAGTTCAGAAAAGGGCCAAAGATTACACTATTGTTATAAGATCAAAGATAACACTACTGTTATAATACTCTTTAGTCATCATTTCAACTCGATATGTCACCGTTTCATATGAAAACAGTCACTCAAGTCGGAGAAAAATAGGCACAAAATAATTGTTACAAGTTGCCGCTATAAGACTTGACCTTTAGCAATATTAAAATGCATGCTTATATTCTTTATTGGTTAATTTTAGTATGGAAATGTTCAAATAACGTAACTAGTTACGATTACATTGGTAAACCAAATTAAACTTTTTTTATTTCATGAGGTTTCTAAACTGTTTCTTACTAATTCAACGTCGCTGATTTCAAATCTATCCACAGTTTCTTTCTAGCAGTTTCTCTAGTTTTAGGGGTGCAGGTACTTATTGAAATGTCATTACTAGGCTTGTTTGAAATAATTTTTACAGCAAAAAATTACTAAATTTCATAAATAAACCGCTATTTCTATATTAAGAAGAAGTTGTTTAAATGATCCGAAGAGTTTTTGTGCTATTTTTGGTGACTATATGTTGAGTGCATGCCGTTTAAATGCTTCTGCACTTCCAGAGACTATGATGTAACATGAGCATCAAGATGCACTTCCTCTTCAGCCATTTAGACAGCTTCCCAGAAAATTTAAGCGACTTAAGTGAATATGAAGGAAAACGCTCTCACCAATTTATTCGCACTATGGAAGTGCGATACCAGGGTCGTTGGAATGCCAATATGATGGCTGATTATTGCTGGAGCAGTAATACAAGAACAATATATTTTTTAATTTTAAAATTCTAGTATTTTTGGCTAAAATTTTTATATCTTCATATTTCGAAAACTAGAGCTGCTAGAGAAAAACTGACTAAAGATTTAGAATCAGCGTGGCAAAATCATATACAATCAGGTAAGAAGTAACATAAAACAAAACTACTGTTTCCCAGTGTTATAGTCGAACCTTTGTCATAGGTACACCCTTGGCGCCCAAGCCGGTGATCTTGTAAGTGGTGCCAGCCGGTGCTGGTTGATCAAAATCGTCTGATGTTGTTACATATAAGATATCGAGATCGGGACCACCCCAAGCGGCAGATGTGATCTGCTTGGTAGGCAACTTGATTTCCAAAAGCACTTCGCCGGTGCTAAATAAAAATGTTATAAGTACAATAAATTAAAATTTACTACCTGGATGTTCTAATAAAGCATTTACGAGTATAAATACTAACCTGGGGTTGACCTTGTATAAGGTGTATCCATTGTAAGTGGCCACATAAATATTACCATCGCTATCTATGGTCATACCGTCGGGCTTCAAATTTTCCTTTGGAGTTGGTCGACGCACATCGAAAACGACCTTCGGTTTAGCTAATTAAATGAAAGTATAAAAAAGATTCTACAGAAAACTTTCTGAAATTACACCAAGTGCTTACTTGCTGCACCAGCATCAAAGTCATAGTCGTATTCCTTCACTTCATAGTCGGTTGTATCTACAAAATAGAACTTATTTGTCTTCTCGTTCCATGCCAAACCATTGGAGATGCCCACATCTGTCTTCACTAACGATACATTGCCATTGTCATATTTATATAATTCACCCCAGCGATCTTTGTATGCATCGCCAATATAACGCATTGTGCCGGCAAAGAGACGTCCACGTGGATCAGCTTTGCCATCGTTAAAACGATTAACAATATACCGATCGTCTTGTTGAACTTCGAAAAGTACACGGTCTATCTTACTTCTTGGCGAAACACCATCCCATGTAACGACGAGTACACGACGATGAGATCCAATAACGAATTTATCTTTTTGTCCTTCGATCGGCACAATAAAGGAGGTGTATTCGAGGTCCTCAACTTTGCTACGGTATACCTTTTCCTCTTGATAGTCGTAGCGCAGTATCCAGCCAGAATCAAGATCAACATAGTAGAGGCTCTGCGTTTCAATATCCCAGTGGGGACCTTCACCGAGGTGTGCATACGAGTTGGGTAATGGTTCAATTTGGTAAGACTGTGTTTGAAAGATTTAATAAAAATTTGGGAATTAATAAGAAACCTGATATATTTTTATATTATTCCAATATGTATGACAATTTTAGCTTCATTTAGTATTGATTGATTTTAAAAGTAGTTGGGAAAAATAAGTCTTATCTTTGTGTATATATATATACATAGGTGTATCAGCGTTATTCCCTATTTCTTTAAGGTATTTAATTTTGTTTTGTCTGTTGTTATTATTATTTTTGGTTACACAGCAAGTTTTTTTGCTTATTGGGTTAACCTTACAAAAACAGATAATTTGTACGCACAAAAATGTTTATTTCTTGACGTTATTTAGTTGAGTTGGTTTTATATAAACAATTTATTTTACATAAACTAAAACCACATGTGCAAATATTTTGCGCAATTTAAATAAAAGAATAAATACGTCAACTATGCGTTGATAATTACATGGAAATGAAATCAGTTGTATGTAACGGGACAGTTATAGCTTGTAATATCTCAAGATTGGTCTTTCTTCGACCTTGTTTACGATAGAGTTTCGTGCTCTAAACTAACTAGATGTTCTGTAAAACAAAGGCGTGACGTCAAAAACTGCGTCAGCTGGAAATCAGTTTCTCCATGTTCTTCTCTACCACGCTTCCAATTAACCTATATCATCCCAATGTAGAGTAAACAATACACAACTAATAATATGTGTCTAATTGCAGTTAGATATCTCTAAAATTTAGTAATCACTTTGCTTTTAAATAGAAAATCGGACATACGGAAATTTCTAAAAGCTCATGTTATTGATAATTTTGTTATAACTTTTAAGGGGTTACAAAAAAAAATGTTTTACTGTCTTATTTAATTCTATAACATCTCTAGAATATTGTCCCGAATTCTCAAGTTGATATCAGTAATAGTTTCGGAGATACAGCTTTGAAAAGTCAGTTATATGGCCATTTAAAACTTTAACCGCGTTATTCTCGAATTTGTGTTTTCAAAGTCGGTTGTCAAGATTTCTCGCGAACTACTCAACCGATCTTGATGAAATTTTATACAGGTGTTTGAGATACAATTTACTCGTAAATGGACGAAGGATGTTTTTTTTCAATTACAACTATTTAAAAAAAAAAGAAATGTCGAGCAAATTTGACCGAAATTTTAATTTTTTTGGAAAAAGGTCTGCCAAAATTCCAATTTTAAGTTTTTATTATTTTTTTCTTCGTTCAAGTACGAGTTTATGGTCTCAACTAAAACACATATATTTTTTTTTTAATTTTAAATGTTCCTTCAGGAGTTAAGCTGACAACGCGGATGCACCTTTTTTCGAGGGGTCACCGGAAATGACGTTACAATGGCAGAGTTTTAATTTTGTTTTTTTGAAAATCTCAGAACTTATTCTTTAAATGTGTATTTTTAAGACAGAAAAAAGTTTGAATTTAATAAATAATTTTTTATATAGAAAAAAAATTATTGAAAATAGATAGGCCTTTTTTTACCCGACAAAACCCATGTAACCCCTTAAGGATTCTTTTATCTCGTTCTTATACCAACAAGCTAAAGTCTAATGTTAAAATACGATAAACGTTCATGAAATGTAAAAAATTAAATGAATCACATTGACCCCTGAGTAATGACTGTAAGTTTTTGCCGGTCTTAGAATTAGTACTTTCGTTGTATGATTAAATTGAATTGGAATTTCCAATACTTATGTTGCAGTATTGAACTTGAAATTAATTACTTTTCCTATTTCCTCTTCAGTGAGTAACAACTTTTTCTAGAAACTTTTTTGTAATATTTAACAGCATATCAGTGTTGTACTTAAACACGAAACTTTATCTTTTTTATATTCTGAATAGGGTATATTAAGTTTGCCACGAAGTTTGTAACACCCAAAAGGAAACGTCGGATACCCTATAAAATATATACATAAATAATGAGCTGAGTTGATTTAGCCATGTTCGTCCGTCTGTATACATATATGCGAACTAGTCTCAATTTTGAAAGTATCGATCTGAATTTTGCACCTGTCTTTTCCTCACTAAGAAGCTGCTCATTTGTTGGAACAGCCGATTTCGGACCGCTATAGCATATAGCTGCCATACAAACTGAACAATAGGAATCAAGTGCTTGTATAGAAAACTGATTAATTAGACGAGGTATCTTCACAAAATTTTGCATGGATTATTGTGTAGCTGTCATATTAACTGAAAGATGGGAATAAGGTGCTTGCATAGAAAACCCTTTTTTTTTTTGAGTTATTGGTTAAAGCAACAATGTAATCTTTGAAGAAATTGTTCAGAGCAGATCACTATATCATATAGCTGCCATACAAACTGAACGATCGGAAGCAAGTTCTTGTAAGGAGCCTTTGTAATTGTGAAGGGTATTATATCTTCGATGCAATCGAAGCTAACGTTTTTTCTTGTTTTACAGTAAGAAATACCCTTGGCATGACACAAAAATATAGATTGGATTGGATTAATGCTGTGATTACATCTTCGTTTGATCATTAATATTAAATAATGCACAAAAATACATTTTGTTTCATATTTACCGTTAAATTATTGGCACGTTTAGACACTTGCACTTTTCCATCTGTCTCCAATAGCTCAGCATTGTGTACTTGGAAAGCGTTTAAGCACACTAAAACCGAAATAATTACAAAACTCGGAAAACGCATCATTTCTTTGAAAATTATAAATTCTTTTATTATATACGAGTATCTGTTTCTAAATGCGGTAATTGTGATATCTCACGTCCGGCAATAAAGAAATCGAATAGAACTAAACATTAACACAATTAACAGACCAAGACTCAACTGAAGCCTTGGCTATAGTTGTCGCGACACTTATAAACTTTCACAGAGCGACACAAAAGTAACTAGTACACAAGTATACAGGTTGGTTGAAAATATATTTTCTCACGAATTTTTTCATGAACAGAGCTGCTTGTTTTAGTTTTCTGCAGATAATCAATCAACAAAAGTACTTTTGCATCCCAAAAACTGATGCCATAACCTTCTTTGCTTGTTTGTTGTGACTTCATCTGCTTTGGCGCTGAACAATCAGCTTCAGTTCACTGTAAACGTTCTTGTTTCAATTTAGGATCATAGTGGTAGAACCAAGTCTCATCCATAGTTATAAAACGCATTAACCTTTCAAACAGCTTTTTTATATTATATGTAATTTTATATATGTAATTCTCCATCTAAAATATGCGGTACTCATTCGTCTGAGATGCCTATGGCATTCGCAATTATACGTTTAGTCAAACTTGGATCTTCACTAACAAAACTATGAACTTGCTCAATGATTTCTGGTGTGGTTGCGGTTTTTAATCGTCCTTCGCGTGGATCGTCTTCAAGCCTAGTACGACCACGTTTAGATTCACCAGGTGAGGATTAGTTATACACTTCTAACAATTATATAACTTGAGAAAAACAATTGGAGCTAGTAGTGATATTTCTTGACGAGACCAACCAACTTTTCAACCAGCCTGTATAATCATATATATATGCATTACATATAGGTAAATGATTTGCAATCGCCGAAATCAGTTATTCGTAGAGATACACGATCCAGAAGTGCAAACAAATCGTATTTCAATGAATGCGCATTTATTTTCTAAGCATTTTAGAGGTGTTCCAGTCTAAAAACTAAAAACAAACCTAAAATATTTTCCATATTTTGATAAGCTAGTTATTAAAAAAATATATATATCTCTGAACAGATTTTTCAAAACCCAAATTAGTATCAAAGTAATGGCCGTTTTAGTAAAGTGGCAACTCGTCTCGTTTAGTCTTAACTTAAAATATTAAAAGAATTTTTCTGAAAACTGTTTTTTTCGATGACTTCGTCACGATCTCTCAAGTCCAGAAAAATTAGTAAAAAAAAAAAAGCGACCTTTATTTTTGCGTAGTCGTTTTATTTACTTTTGAGAAATAGTTGTTCTCTGAGTTTTATTGAGACGCGTCACATATTTTCAAACATACAATATATATATGTATATATATATATAAAGGGTGATCCATTTCGAGGTTTGCTACTTTTTTAAACAAATAAACACATATTATTCAAATTTAATGGAAAATGTTTATTACCAATCAAAAGAACATTCTTTTGCATTTATTTTTTGAAGATTATCTCTTTCAAATGAAGGCCGCGGCTACGCCTCAGATGGTCCATCCGTAGAGACCAATTTTCGATGCCTATAACAAAATTGTTGAGGCGGCTCATATCAGTTCGACTGTCACTCCTAGTTCGCCTAAAGTACGACTGCCGCGATGTTTATATTCACAGTGACAGAGCTCAATACTGTTATAGCCGCCCCGTTGTCAGAGTAATTACTCACCTCCCTGAAATATGCTGCCCTTCGGAGCAAAACGTCTACTATTACCTTAATGGCAGCCACTTCTGCTTGAAAACCCCTACAGCGGTCTGGTAGCCTAAAACTAAGCTTTGACGGCGAGCTCCTAACAGAAAACTCTTCCTCCAATAAAATCTCGATTTGTTTCAGGTGTTAAAAACAACCGTTAGGTGAACAAAACTATTGCGAGAGTACATAAATCTTGACTTGAACAATTTTAAAATGCAGGTTTGTACTTTTTATGGAAAAATTTAATATGAAAACGTATAAAAAATGTTCACATAATGTAACTGTGTATGATTATAGTTGAACCTTTGTCATAGGCAACCCCTTCGCGCCCAAGCCGGTGATTTTGTAAGTGGTGCCAGCCGGTGCTGGTTGATCAAATTTGGCTGATGTTGTTACATATAAGATATCGAGATTGGGACCACCCCAGGCCGCAGACGTTATTTGCTTGGTAGGCAACTTAATCTCCAAGAGCACTTTGCCGGTGCTAAATAAAAATAAATAATAAGAAAGATCAGGATTTATTACTTAGATGTGTCAATATATACTAACCTTGGGTTGACCTTGTATACGGTGTGTCCATTGAAGGTGGCCACATAGAGATTACCATCGCTGTCTATGGTCAAACCATCAGGCAATACATTGTCCTTTGGATTTGGTCGACGCAAATTGAAAACGACCTTCGGTTTAGCTAAATTAATAAAGATATAAAAATATTTGTAGTGAAGACTTTCTCAAATTTGAACAAGCACGTGCTTACTTGGTACACCAGCATCAAAGTCATAATCATATTCCTTCACTTCATAGTCGGTTGTATCTATATAATAGAACTTATTTGTCTTCTCGTTCCATGCCAAACCATTGGAGATGCCGACATCCGTCTTCACTACCGACACCTTGCCACCCTTTTCATACTTGTATAATTCACCCCAGCGATCTTTGAACTCATCGCCGACATAACGCATTGTGCCGGCAAAAAGACGTCCACGTGGATCAGCTTTGCCATCGTTAAAACGATTAACAATATACTGCTCGTCNTAAGAAACTTGGCATATTTTTATATTATTCCAGACGGTAAGACTATTTTTATTTCATTTAGTATATATCAGTTTTATAAATATTTGAGTAAAATAAATCTTATCTTTCTTTACATATTGAATGTATAAAGTTCATCGATATTTTAGTCTGTTATTTATTTACAATGTCATGGCTTTTTGTTACACAACAACTTGTGTAGGTTATCAGAGGTGAACCTTTTAAAAACAGATGTTTTTATTGAAAAAAAAAATTGTGAAAACCGTTGCGAATTAAATTTAATTTTTTGTGCTTTCGAAATGAATATTAAATTCTTGAAGTCATTAATCCCTAACAACATTTTAGGTAAGATTTATATATTAAAGTTATTATACAATAATAAGTTCTAGAGATATAACCTATGCTAAATGGTAGGTTCATTTAGTATTAAGTAGTGAAAAAAATGATAATAAGATGGAAATGAGATATGCTGGATTAAATTGACCATAGATAGGTAACATATTTATAAGACTTATGCACAAAAATTATAATATATTTTGGTCTGAACAAAATAGTAGCATTTTCTAAACGACCAAGCTCCTTTTTAAGGTTCTCCAACCATACCAAACACAATTTTTACCAAAAATAACCTCCTTCAGAGTGGTGATTATCTCTTATTTTGTGATTAGACTGGTTTGGGTGCCTGGCGACAGCGGTATTTCAGGAAAATGTAAGGTTGATGAGCTTGCTAGTACAGTCACATCAGTCTCAATAACAGCGGAACGGGAACGGATAGGACCTTCTTTGGCTTCCTTTGGCTCACTAATGGACTGTTGGGTCTCAGACTAAATCAGTAAGCGCTAGTCGACTACCAGCAACTGTGCAGTCGCAAAGTCCTCCTGGGTAAATTGAGGAGGTTCAGGGAAATATTCGCTCTCAGCAAGGTTGGCCTTTCAGTGGTTGTAGGATTTCTGACTGGACACTGTCCGATCGGGATTCATGCAGTAAGGTGAAATAACGGAAATATAAATAAAACACGTAAACATTTGTGATATTGATGATTATTTGTGATAGGTATAGGGGGTTTTTGCCGATAGCTAATATCCAACTACACGAGTTTTTCCGTTTGGCATCACAAAGAGCTGTATATAACAGTCTAAGTGTGATCCACCCGCAATGCTGTGGGATCAGCCCTTTAACCTAACCAAAACCTAAAAAGGTATAAAAATTAATGAATCCGCCACCGATCGTAAGCAGTGCGTTTTCGCTGGCTTTAGTACTGCACAATCCATTAGTTATATTGCAAATGTTGGCAACAGATCAAACTACTATCTAACTCATAATATATTTAGTTCCATTACTAATGTTGTAGACTTGAACTTGAAAGTAATTAGTTTTATACTTCCCCTTCAACGAGCAAAAGCTGATTTGCGATCACTTTTAAGATATTCTAGTAGAATCTAGTAGATTGTACCGCAAGACGGAAGCGCAACTGCTCTTTACACTAAAATAAGGATTTGGTATGACACAATAAGATTGGGCTAGATTTATGCTAATATGATTAATTGACAGTTATATATTATATATTATATTAAAAATTGCATAAATTTGAATTAATTTATATTCTCGCAAATACCGTTAAATTATTGGCACGTATGGACACTTCCATTGATACTTCCACTTTTTCTTCTGTCTCTGTAACCTCATCACTGTGTACTTGGCAAGCGTTTAAGCACAGTAAAACCGAAATAATTACAAAACTCGGAAAATGCATAACTTTTTTGCAAATTAAAAATTCTTTTATTATATACAAGTATCTATCTCTAAATGCGGTAAGTATGGAACTAAACTTTAACACAGTTAACAGACCAAGACTCAACTGAAACCTTGGCTCTAGTTGTCGCGACACTTATAAACTTTCATAGAGCGGCACGAAAGTACACGGTACACTAATATGTGTGTATGTATATGGCTAATTGATTGGCAATCGCCGAAATCAGCTGTTCGCAGAGATACACGATCGAGTGGTGCAAACAAAAAGTTTTTCAATGAATGAGCATTTAATCGCGATGCATTTTAATGTTTACGTATCTGAGTATGTAGGTATGATGTATACACAACATTTTGACTTTTGTCTGGTTCGAAAGCAACAAGTGATTCAACAAAAACCAGTTGCCAGCGTTTCCCAACCTATGTGCTGCCACTGAGGAGAACTGAGTTATACTTTAGAGTTTTTTCTTGATGACACTAAGAAGACTTAAATTTACTTGCTTTAATAAGGAAAACTGGCTTTCTCGATTCAGATGACACCTCTGTGTAATTTTTTCCTGCTATGTTAGGTGTTAAGAATCGAGAAAGCTTGTTATCTGCTGGAAATTAATATGTGAATCGACCGAATATGCTAAATGGGTCTCAGCGTTAAAAATATGATATATGAAATAAATGTCGAT